GGATCCCAAAATTCTCCTCCTGGAGATTAGCCAGGGTTGGGATGGGATGGGATTGAAGGTCCAGGGATCCCATCTGGAGAATTCCGGGATTCTGGGATCAGGGATCCATCCTGAAGGATTTTGATGGGATTTGGGCATGGAAGGATTTGGGGATGGAGAAGAGAAATGGAATCCCAAATTCCCAGGGAATTCCCGAAATTCCTTCCCAGAGAGGAGCCAGAGTTTGGAACAGGATGGAACTGAAGGTCCAGGGATCCCATCCAGAGAATTGGGAAATTTGGGAATTTGGGAATTTGGGAATTTGGGGATGGAAAAGAGAAATGGAATCCCAAATTCCAAGGGAATTCCCGAAATTCCTTCCCGGAGAGGAGCCAGTGTTGGAATGGGATGGCATTGAAGATCCTGGAATCTCGTCTAGAGAATTCCGGGATTCTGGGATCAGGGATCCATCCTGAAGGATTTGGGGATGGAAAAGAGAAATGGAATCCCAAATTCCAAGGGAATTCCCGAAATTCTTTCCCAGAGAGGAGCCAGAGTTTGGAACAGGATGGAACTGAAGGTCCAGGGATCCCATCCAGAAATTGGGAAATTTGGGAATTGGGGAATGAGAGGATGAGGGGAATTAGGGAAATTAGGAAATTGGGATGAGGGGAATTAGGGAATGAGGGGAATTAAGGAATTAGGAAATTGGGATGAGGGGAATTAGGGAATGAGGGGAATTTGGGAATTAGGAAATTGGAATGAGGGAAATTAGGGAATGAGGGGAATTAGGGAATGAGGGGAATTAGGAAATTGGGATGAGGGGAAATAGGGAATGAGGGGGATTAAGGAATGAGGGGAATTAACGAATTATGAAATTGGGATGAGGGGAATTAGGGGATGAGGGAGATGAGGGAAATTAGGGAATAATGGGAATGAGGGAATGAGGGGAATTAGGGAATTTGGGTAATTAGGGAATAAGGGGATCAGGGAATATTGGAATGAGGGGAATTAGGGGATGAGGGTAATGATGGGAAATAGGGATTGAGGGGATTTAGGGAATGAGGGGAATAAGGAATTAGGGGATGAGGGAATAATGGAATGAGGGGAATTAGGGAATTATGGAATAGGAAATTAGGGAATGAGGAACATTAGGGGATGGGGGAATTAGGGGATGAAGGAATTAGGGAATTGGGGAATGAGGGAAATCAGGGGAAAAACACATGAGGAGATTTTGGGAATGAAGGGAAAGAAGGAATTATGGGAATTAGGGGGTGAAGGGAATTAGGGAATTGGGATGAGGGAAATTGGAGAATTTGGGGATGAGGGGATGGGGGAGAGAGGGAAATGATGAAACTGAGATGGGGAAAATTTGGGAATTTGGGGAATTAGGGGAATTATGGATTGAGAGGAATTAGGGGATAAGGGGAATCAGAGAATAGGGGGGATGGGGGGAATTTGGGGAATAGGAATGAGGGGATGAGGGGAATTAGGGAATAAGAGATTAGGGAATGAGGGGATGAGGGGAATTAGGGGAAAATGGAAAGAGGGAATGAGGGGAATTAGGGAAGTGGGGTGAGGGAAATTAGGGAATTTGGGGATCAGGGGGTCTAGGGAATTTGGGGATGAGGAGAATGAGAGGAAATAGGGAATTATGGGAATTAGGGGATGAAGGGAATTAGGGGATGAGGGAAACGGGGGAAATTGGAAAATTAGGGAAATTGGGATGAGGGAAATTAGGGGATATGGGGAATTAGGGAATGATGGAAATTAGGGGATGAGGGAATGGGAATGAGGGGAATGAGGGAATAAAAAATTAGGGGATGAGGGGATGGAGGAAATTAGGGGATGAGGGAATTATGGAATGAGGGGAATGAGAGAAAGAGGGGAATGAAGGAACTGGGATGAGGGAATGGGAATGAGGGGATGAGGGAAATGGGGATGACGGGAATTATGGGATGAGGGGAATTAGGGAAAGGGGAATTATGGGATGAGGGAATTAGGGAAATTAGGGAATTTAGGGAATTTGGGATGAGGGGAAGTAGGGAATGAGGGGAATTAGTGGAATGGGGTATTTGGGGATGGGGGAAATTAGGAAATTGGGATGAGGGAAATTAGGGAATGAGGGGAATTAGTGAATGAGAGAAATTATGGAATGAGGGAAGTGGGGAAAATAGGGAATGAGGGAATTGGGGGATGAGGGAAAAAAGGGAATGAAATGAGGGGCTGAGGGATAATGGAATGAAGGGACTGTGGGAACTGAGGGAATAAAAGGATCGGGCAGGATAAGGGGAAAAAGAGAATGAAGAAAATGAAGGAACTGAGCGGGATGAGGGAATCAGGGAATGAAAGGGGGATGAGGGGAATAATGAAGGGACGGAGGGAATGAAAGGACTGAGGGGGATGAGGGAAATAAGGGGATAAGGGAACGAAGGAAATGAAAGGGCTCAGGGGAGTGAAGGGAATAAGGAAATGAAGGCATTGAGGGGCTGAAGGCTTGAGGAGGATGAGCGGGCTGAGGGGGCTGAAAATGCTGAAAGGCTGAGGGGGCTGAAAGGCTGAGGGGGAGCAGGGGGCTGAAGGACTCAGGGGGCTGAAAGGCTGAGGGGGCTGAAAGGCTGAGAGTGCCCAGGAACTGAGGGGACAAAAGCCCTGAGGGACCGGGGGCTCTGAGGCGCTGAGGGACCGAGGGCGCTGAGGGACTGAGGGAGCTTAAGAACCCAGAGTGGTTGAAAGCGGAGACGGCTGAGGCACCGAGCGGGCTGAAAGGCCGGGGGTCGTGAAGAACCGAGGCCGCTGAAGAACCGCGGGCTCTGAGGGACCGAGGGCGCGGAAGAACCGCGGGCTCTGAGCGAGTGAGGGCGCGGAAGAACCGCGGGCTCTGAGGGACTGAGGGCGCGGAAGAACCGCGGGCGGCAAAGAACCGGGGATTCTGAGGGACTGAGGGCGCTGAAAAACCGCGGGCGGTTCAAAACCGAGGGCTCTGAGGGACTGAGGGCGCTGAAAAACCGCGGGCGGTGAAGAACCGAGGGCTCTGAGGGACTGAGGCCGCGGAAGAACCGCGGGCTCTGAAGGACTGAAGCCGCTGAAGAACCGCGTGCCGTTCAAAACCGAGGCCGCTGAGGGCGCTGAAGAACGGCGGGCGGTTCAAAAGCGAGGCTGCTGAGGGACTGAGGCCGCTGAGGGGCCAAGGGCGGTAAAGAACGGCGGGCGGTTCAAAAGCGAGGGCTCTGAGGGACTGAGCCTGCTGAGGGCGCTGAAGAACCGCGGGCGGTGAAGAACCGAGGGCTCTGAGGGACTGAGGTCGCTGAAGAACCGCGAGCGGTTCAAAGACGAGGGCTCTGAGGGACTGAAACTGCCGAGCGGCCGAGGGCGGTGAAGAACCGCGGCCTCTGAAGAGCTGGGGCCGCTGAAGGGTCGAGGCCGCTGAGGGACCAAGGGCGCTGAAGAACCGCGGCCAGCGAAGAACCGAGGGCTCCGAAAAACTGAGGCCGCTGAGGGACCAAGGGCGCTGAAGAACCGCGGCCAGCGAAGAACCGAGGGCTCCGAAGAACTGAGGCCGCTGCGGGGCCGACGCGGCCGTTAAAGCGGCGGGAAGCACCGCCCGCCTCTGACGCCACACGCGCCGCGCCGCCGCCATGGGCGCCCGCCGGGCGGGGGCGTGACGTTCCCCGCAGCTCGCGTCGCCATTGGCCGCCCGCGCGGCTCCGCCTGCCGCCATTGGTCGGTGCCGCCCCGCCTCCCGCGGCGGGCGGGGGCGCGAACGTGCGGCGCGGGCCGTTCCCGCGGGCGGGGGGCGCGCGCGGCGCCTCGTGGGGAACTGCACGTAGCCAGGGCGGGGAGGGCACGCGCCGTTCCCGCCAGAGCCGGGGGCGGGGGGGGGGGGGGGCCGCCAGGGGAGACCATGGAGGAGATGAGGAGTGTCCATGTTTGTGAGGGGAGATCATGGAGGAGGAGCTGAGGGGTGTCCATGTCTGAGGGGAGATGAGGGGTGTCCATGAGGGGAGACCATGGAGGAGATCGTGGGGGAGAGATCAGGGGTGTCCATGTCCGTGAGGGGAGATGAGGGGTGTCCTTGAGGGGAGACCATGGAGGAGCTGAGGAGTGTCCATGTCTGAGGGGAGATGAGGGGTGTCCATGAGGGGAGACCATGGAGGAGATCGTGGGGGAGAGATCAGGGGTGTCCATGTTTGTGAGGGGAGATGAGGGGGGTCCATGAGGGGAGACCATGGAGGAGATGAGGAGTGTCCATGTTTGTGAGGGGAGATCATGGAGGAGGAGCTGAGGGGTGTCCATGTCTGAGGGGAGATGAGGGGTGTCCATGAGGGGAGATCATGGAGGAGATCGTGGGGGAGAGATCAGGGGTGTCCATGTTTGTGAGGGGAGATGAGGGGGTCCGTGAGGGGACATCATGGAGGAGACGAGGGGTGTCCATGTTTGTGAAGGGAGATCATGGAGGTGAGGAGGGGTGTCCATGTTTGTGAGGAGGGATCATGGAGGTGAGGAGTGTCCATGTTTGTGAGGGGAGATCATGGAGGTGAGGAGGGGTGTCCATGTTTGAGGGGAGATCATGGAGGTGATGAGGGGTGTCCATGTTTGTGAGGGGGGATCATGGAGGAGGAGATGAGGGGTGTCCATGTTTGTGAGGAGCAGCTGTGAGGGGAGATCATGGAGGAGATGAGGGGTGTTCATGAGAAGAGATCATGAGGAAGATGAGAAGATCACTGTGGACATGAGGAGCCTCCGTGGTTGTGAGGGGCAGCCATGAGGCAGGATCTTGGGTGGGATAAGGGGCGACCATGGAGGAAGATGAGGGGCGACCATGGAGGAAGATGAGGGGAGACCATGGAGGAAGATGAGGGGCAGCCCCTGCTGCTGTTTTGGAATATTTTTTCTCAGGTGTGGCGGCAGAACCAGCTGCCTCTCAAGGTGAGAGAGATCTCAAGGCGATGGATTTCACAGGCACCTCCTCTGCATACATAATAACTCACTTTTCATTTTAATTTTCATTTCAGCACGTAATGAGCTGACTGAAAAAACCAAGCCTGAGGAGCTTGGGAGGAAATTTAGGAGCACTGGAAATAGAAGATTTTGGCTCCTGCTTGGATGCATTGGAGAAGGTATTTGATTTTAGAAATTTAAAAAAAAAAAACAGATATTTTGTTGGGAAATCACATCAGGTTTCATGTTTTATATCACAACTGGGTGAAAACCCTTTCATGTCCCAGCATTTTTCCTTGGACAACAGTAGAAAAATCCCACCTGGGTTGTGTAAATTCATTGTTGGTAAAAATAAACATTTTTAGAGTGTTGGTACAGCAGCTCTGCCTTAACGTACTATAAAGGGACAAACACCAAAATTAGGGATTTTTGTCATGGTGACAAAAAGCTGAAGGGTTTGAAGGGAGGGGAAAAGCAGTGGCCCAAAGTGAAATAAACGCCAAAAGGAGAAATGCTGGTGAAAAATAAATAAAAAAGAGTGGTGATGGGGAGACCCCAAATCCTTGGGAATGGGGTAAAGGGGAGCCCAAATCCTTGGGAATGGGGTAAAAATGGAGCCCAAATCCTTGGGAATGGGGTAAAGGGGAGCCCAAATCCTTGGGAATGGGGTAAAGGGGAGCCCAATGAGGGGAGAAGAGAACGAGGGGCCGCAGCCGCTGCCGGCTCCCCCTCCTCGCCCCGCGGGCATCCCGGGCCGGGCCGGCGGAGCCCGGCGGGGCCGGGGCCGGGGCCGGGGCCGGGCGGCGGGGGCGTTGCACGGAGAGGCAGCGGCGGAGCCAATGCGCAGGAAGGGGCCGAGCATGTGGGGAGAGGTTGTTTACAGCAGCCCGGCCCCGGGAGCTTTAACCCGGCCGGCGGCTCGGCTCGGCTCGGAGCGGGGCTCCGCGGTGAGTGGCGGCGCGGCATGGCCCGGCCTCGGCTTCCTCCCCTAATTCTCCTTCTCCTTCCTCCTCCTTCCCTTCCTGGCTGAGCGGCGGAGAGCGGGGGGAAAGGAAAAAAAAAATTAGGGGGAAAAAAAGAAAATTAAAAAAAACCCCGCGCGCGGGAGCGGCGATTCCCGCCCGGCCGCGGCTCCGCCCCCGCCCCGCCCGGCCCGGCGCGGCTCCGGGAACCGGGAACCGGGAGCGTTTCAAAACAGCCCGAGGTGAGCGGGGACCGAGCCGGGCCGGGCCGGGCCGGGGGGCAGCCGCTTCTGCCTGTCCCGGTGAGCGCAGCGCCTTCCCCGCGTCCTGCTCCGGGCTCGGGGCATCCTCGGGGGGGCTGCCCGGTGTCCGTGTGCCTTATCCCGGGGCATTCCCTGCCGGTGTCCGTGTTCCCTTATCCCGGGGCATTCCCTGCCCGGTGTCCGTGTTCCCTTATCCCGGGGCATTCCCTGCCCGGTGTCCGTGTCCCTTATCCCGGGGCATTCCCTGCCCGGTGTCCGTGTGCCTTATCCCGGGGGATTCCCTGCCCGGCGTCCGTGTCCCTTATCCCGGGAGATTCCCTGCCCGGTGTCCGTGTTCCCTTACCCCGGTGTCCGTGTCCGCCCCATCCCGGGGCATTCCCTCCCCAGACCCGCTGTTTGTCCCCCCAGTACCGCTGTCCCTCTGTCCGTCCCCCCAGTCCCTCTCTCTGTCCGTCCCCCAGTCCCTCTGTCCGTTGAGGGGAGAGTGAGGGGAGAAGAGAACGAGGGGCCGCAGCCGCTGCCGGCTCCCCCTCCTCGCCCCGCGGGCATCCCGGGCCGGGCCGGCGGAGCCCGGCGGGGCCGGGGCCGGGGCCGGGGCCGGGCGGCGGGGGCGTTGCACGGAGAGGCAGCGGCGGAGCCAATGCGCAGGAAGGGGCCGAGCATGTGGGGAGAGGTTGTTTACAGCAGCCCGGCCCCGGGAGCTTTAACCCGGCCGGCGGCGAGGCTCGGCTCGGAGCGGGGCTCCGCGGTGAGTGGCGGCGCGGCATGGCCCGGCCTCGGCTTCCTCCCCTAATTCTCCTTCTCCTTCCTCCTCCTTCCCTTCCTGGCTGAGCGGCGGAGAGCGGGGGGAAAGGAAAAAAAAAATTAGGGGGAAAAAAAGAAAATTAAAAAAAACCCCGCGCGCGGGAGCGGCGATTCCCGCCCGGCCGCGGCTCCGCCCCCGCCCCGCCCGGCCCGGCGCGGCTCCGGGAACCGGGAACCGGGAGCGTTTCAAAACAGCCCGAGGTGAGCGGGGACCGAGCCGGGCCGGGCCGGGCCGGGGGGCAGCCGCTTCTGCCTGTCCCGGTGAGCGCAGCGCCTTCCCCGCGTCCTGCTCCGGGCTCGGGGCATCCTCGGGGGGGCTGCCCGGTGTCCGTGTTCCCTTATCCCGGGGGATTCCCTGCCCGGTGTCCGTGTTCCCTTATCCCGGGGCATTCCCTGCCCGGTGTCCGTCGCTGTCCCTCTGTCCGTCCCCCCCAGTCCCGCTGTCCCTCTCCCCAGTCCCTCTGTCCCTCTCCCCAGTCCCTCTGTCCCCCTCCCCAGTCCCTCTGTCCGTCCCCCCCAGTCCCGCTGTCCGTCCGTCCCCCCCAGTCCCGGTCCCTCTCCTCGCTGTCCGTATTCCCCCTCCCATCCCGGTCCCGGTTTGCCCGGTCCGTGTGTCCCTCCCTCCGTCCGTCTGTCCGTCCGTCCCTCCGTGTCCCCCGCCCCGCGCGCACGTGCCCTGCCCGGTGCCGCCCTCCCTCCGTGCCGTGCCCGGGCACTCTCCTGCTCCTCCTCCTCTTCCTCCTCCTCCTCCTCCTCCTCCTCCTCCTCCTCCTCCGCCGCCTTCCCCACGTGCCCCGCGGTCGGGAATACGCGCAATTCCTGGATCCAGGAATTCACGGGTCCAGGAATCCCGCCCTGGCTCCCCTCTCCCTTTCCTTCCTCCGCCCTCGCCGGCTCCTCAAGAAAAAAAAACAAAACAAAACAAAAAAATGCTGATTTTGGTCTTCCTAAAGTGTTTTCCTCTGGAATAATTTCCTTCCCGAAGTCACTCAGGGAGTTTTTCCTGGCGGGCAAAATCCAGGAGGAAACGTTGGGAATCTCCTGTTCCGGGAGCTTTGACTCGCGGGGAGTTCCCTTCAGTTTTGGGGGTGTTTGGTTTTTTTATTTTAAAAAAAGCCCAAATTCCCCAAACCGCTCCCGGCGGAGACCTCGCTTCCCGGTCACGTGTGCCGCTGGGGCGTGGATTTTTGGGGATTATTTTGGGGTTTTTTTGGGAAGCGTCAGGGGAAAAGTGGATCTGTTCTCTGCTTTGGGGTCTGCCACAGCCTGGACTTTGTGATTGTTGGGAGTGAGGCGGAATTTCTCCCGGAAAAAAAAAAAAAATCCTGGAAAAACGGGATTTTGGCATTCTCCAGAGAGGGATTAGTGCCAAAAACTTGGTTTTTATTCCCAAAAACCACCCGGGACGAGAATCAAGACATTCCCCTCTCTCCAAACCAACCATTCCTCATTTTCCAAACCCGCCTTTCCCAAACCTCCACGAGGTGCTGACGGGTTTTTTTTTTGGGAAAAACTCGGTCCCAAACCCACGCCGGGAATAATTTGGGATCCGATGGATTGGGAACAGCTGGGCGCTTTGGGATTTTTGGGACATCGGGCGGGGATTTCTTGGCACGGCCGTGGCGGGGATGGGATCCAGAGTCCAAAAATCCTCTGGAAGCTCCGGGAATTTGGCTCGGGGCAGGGTTTTCCCTTTTTTCCCTCCCCTCTGGCTGCCGGGGCCGGAGGGGGAAGGAAAAAGGGAAGGAGGGAAAATGAAATCCCCAGGGAATGGGGAGCGGCTTCGGAGCGGGACGGCGGCCAAGGGGCCCGCGGATTCCGCGCCTGGGATTGCCCGGCTTGGATCCCAAACCCTGGAATTCCCTGATGTGGATCCCAAACCCTGGAATTCCCCAATTTGGATCCCAGATCCTGGATTTCCCACTTTGGATCCCAGATCCTGGATTTCCCACTTTGGATCCCAGATCCTGGAATTCCCCACTTTGGATCCCAGATCCTGGAATTCCCCACTTTGGATCCCAAATCCTGGGATATCTCAGGGTTTCTGTGCCTGAGATTCCCTGGTTTGGATCCCAAACCCTGGAATTCCCTGATGTGGATCCCAAACCCTGGGATATCTCGGGGTTTCCGTGCCTGGGATTCCCCAATTTAGATCCCAAATCCTGGAATTCCCCAATTTGGATCCCAAACCCTGGGATATTCTGGAGTTTGTGTGGCTGGGATTCCCTGTCTGGATCCCAAATCTTGGAATTCCCCACTTTGGATCCCAAACCCTTGGATATCCCAGAGTTTCTATGCCTGGGATTGCCCAGGCTGGATCCCAAACCCTGGAATTCCCTGATTTGGATCCCAAACCCTGGGATATCTCGGGGTTTCCGTGCCTGGGATTCCCCAATTTAGATCCCAAATCCTGGAATTCCCCAATTTGGATCCCAGATCCTGGAATTCCCCAGTTTGGATCCCAAATCCTGGGATATCCCAGTTTGATCCCAAACCCTGGGATTCCCCAGTTTGGATCCCAGATCGTGGAATTCCCCAGTTTGGATCCCAAATCCTGGAATTCCCCGATTTGGATCCCACACCCTGGGATGTCTCAGTTTGCATCCCAAATCCTGGGATATCCCGGAGTTTCTGTGCCTGGGATTGCCCAATCTGGATCCCAGATCCTGGAATTCCCGGGTTTGCGTCCCAAGTCCTGGGATATCCCAGAGCTTCTGTCCCCGGTGCCAGCTCTGGATGCCACCCCCGTGTCCGTCTGTCTGTCCCCAGTGCCACCCCCATGTCTGTCTGTCCTCAATGCCACCCCTGTGTCCGTCTGTCTGTCCCCAATGCCACCTTTGTGTCCGTTTGTCCCCAAGTCAATCCCGGATCCCCCGCTGCTGGATTCCCGAATCCCGGATCCCCCGCTGCTGGATTCCCGAATCCCGGATCCCCCGCTGCTGGATTCCCGAATCCCGGATCTCCCGCTGCTGGATTCCCGAATCCTGGATCCCTTAGTGCCAAATTCCCCAATCCCGGATCCCCCGCTGCTGGATTCCCGAATCCCGGATCCCTTAGTGCCAGATCCCCCAATCCCGGATCCCCCAATCCCGGATTCCCAAATCCTGGATCCTCCAAAGCCAGATCCCCCAATCCCGGATCCCTCAATCCCGGATTCCCCAATCCCGGATCCCCCAGTCCCGAATTCCCCAATCCTGGATTTTCCAGTCCTGGATCCCCCAATCCCAGATTCCTCAATCCCAGATCCCCCAATCCCGGATTCCCAAATCCTGGATCCTCCAAAGCCAGATCCCCCAATCCCGGATCCCTCAATCCCGGATTCCCAAATCCTGGATCCTCCAAAGCCAGATCCCCCAATCCCGGATCCCTCGATCCCGGATCCCTCGATCCCGGATCCCCCGATCCCGGATTCCTGAATCCCGGAAGCCTCCGGCAGCTCCACAGTCAGCAGGTACCTCCTGGGGGCACGGTGGGAGAAATATTCCAGGGATTTTCCCAATTCTGCAGGGGCCTGGGGGTTTTTGGTGGAATCCCAAAATCCATTTCCTTTGGAGGAATCCCAAATTCCATGGAAAAGAGTCCAAAGTGTGTCCTGAGGGTCCATGGAAAAGTGTTTTGTTTTTTTTTTTTTTCCGGAAAAAAGAGTCCAAAGTGTGTCCTGAGGACTTCAGTCCTGCTGAGGATGGTTTGGGAACATCCAGTGGGATTCCCTTCCAGGAGCTGCTCCTGGTTTCCCATCCCAATCCCAAAGGAATTAGAGTTCCCACATTCCAATCCCAAGGGAATTCAATCTCTCAATCCCAATCCCGAAGGAATCAAATCGCCCAATCCCGAGGGAATTGAATTTCCCACATTCCAATCCCAAAGGAATTTAGTCTCCCAATCCCAATCCTGAGGGAATCAAATCCCACACATTTCGATCCCAAAGGAATTAAATTTCTCACATTCCAATCCCAAGGGAATCAAATCCCCCGATGTCAATCCCAAGGGAGTCAAATCTCCCACATTCCAATCCTGAGGGAATTCAATCTCCCAATCCCAAGGGAATTCAGTCTCCCAATCCCAAAGGAGTTACAGTTTCCACATTCCAATCCCAAGGGAATTCAATCTCCCAGTTCCAATCCCAAAGGAATTAAAGTTCCCGCATTCCAATCCTGAGGGAATCAAATTCCCCACATTCCAATCCCGAAGGAATTAAAGTTCCCACATTTCAACCAAGGAATTAAAGGGAATTCAGTCTCCCAATCCCAAGGGAATCAAAATTTCCCACATTCCAGTCCCGAGGGAATCAAATCTCCCAATCCCAAAGGAGTTACAGTTCCCACATTCCAATCCCAAGGGAATTCAGTCTCCCAGTTCCAATCCCGAAGGAATTAACGGTCCCGCATTCTAATTCTGAAGGAATTCAATCTCCCAATCCCAAGGGAATCCAATGCCCCACATCCCAATCCCAAGGGAATCAAATCCCCCACGTTCCAGTCTTGAGGGAATTCAAGCTCCCAATCCCAAAGGAATTCCATCTCCCAAATCCCGGATCCCCCGCTGCTGGATTCCCGAATCCCGGATCCCCCGCTGCTGGATTCCCGAATCCCGGATCCCCCGCTGCTGGATTCCCGAATCCCGGATCTCCCGCTGCTGGATTCCCGAATCCTGGATCCCTTAGTGCCAAATTCCCCAATCCCGGATCCCCCGCTGCTGGATTCCCGAATCCCGGATCCCTTAGTGCCAGATCCCCCAATCCCGGATCCCCCAATCCCGGATTCCCAAATCCTGGATCCTCCAAAGCCAGATCCCCCAATCCCGGATCCCTCAATCCCGGATTCCCCAATCCCGGATCCCCCAGTCCCGAATTCCCCAATCCTGGATTTTCCAGTCCTGGATCCCCCAATCCCAGATTCCTCAATCCCAGATCCCCCAATCCCGGATTCCCAAATCCTGGATCCTCCAAAGCCAGATCCCCCAATCCCGGATCCCTCAATCCCGGATTCCCCAATCCCGGATCCCCCAGTCCCGAATTCCCCAATCCTGGATTTTCCAGTCCTGGATCCCCCAATCCCAGATTCCTCAATCCCAGATCCCCCAATCCCGGATTCCCAAATCCTGGATCCTCCAAAGCCAGATCCCCCAATCCCGGATCCCCCAATCCCGGATTCCCAAATCCTGGATCCTCCAAAGCCAGATCCCCCAATCCCGGATCCCCCAATCCCGGATTCCCAAATCCTGGATCCTCCAAAGCCAGATCCCCCAATCCCGGATCCCTCGATCCCGGATCCCCCGATCCCGGATTCCCCAATCCCAGATTCCTGAATCCCGGAAGCCTCCGGCAGCTCCACAGTCAGCAGGTACCTCCTGGGGGCACGGTGGGAGAAATATTCCAGGGATTTTCCCAATTCTGCAGGGGCCTGGGGGTTTTTGGTGGAATCCCAAAATCCATTTCCTTTGGAGGAATCCCAAATTCCATGGAAAAGAGTCCAAAGTGTGTCCTGAGGGCTTCAGTCCTGCTGAGGATGGTTTGGGAACATCCAGTGGGATTCCTTTCCAGGAGCTGCTCCTGGTTTCCCATCCCAATCCCAAAGGAATTAGAGTTCCCACATTCCAATCCCAAGGGAATTCAATCTCTCAATCCCAATCCCGAAGGAATCAAATCGCCCAATCCCGAGGGAATTGAATTTCCCACATTCCAATCCCAAAGGAATTTAGTCTCCCAATCCCAATCCTGAGGGAATCAAATCCCACACGTTTCGATCCCAAAGGAATTAAATTTCTCACATTCCAATCCCAAGGGAATCAAATCCCCCGATGTCAATCCCAAGGGAGTCAAATCTCCCACATTCCAATCCTGAGGGAATTCAATCTCCCAATCCCAAGGGAATTCAGTCTCCCAATCCCAAAGGAGTTACAGTTTCCACATTCCAATCCCAAGGGAATTCAATCTCCCAGTTCCAATCCCAAAGGAATTAAAGTTCCCGCATTCCAATCCTGAGGGAATCAAATTCCCCACATTCCAATCCCGAAGGAATTAAAGTTCCCACATTTCAACCAAGGAATTAAAGGGAATTCAGTCTCCCAATCCCAAGGGAATCAAATTTCCCACATTCCAGTCCCGAGGGAATCAAATCTCCCAATCCCAAAGGAGTTACAGTTCCCACATTCCAATCCCAAGGGAATTCAGTCTCCCAGTTCCAATCCCGAAGGAATTAACGGTCCCGCATTCTAATTCTGAAGGAATTCAATCTCCCAATCCCAAGGGAATCCAATGCCCCACATCCCAATCCCAAGGGAATCAAATCCCCCACGTTCCAGTCTTGAGGGAATTCAAGCTCCCAATCCCAAAGGAATTCCATCTCCCACATTCCAATCCCAAAGGAGTTCAGTCTCCCAATTCCAGTGCTGAGGGAATCAGATCTCCCACGTTCCACTCCCGAAGGAATCAAAGTTCCCACATTCCAATCCTAAAGGAATCAAATCCCCCAATTCAAATCCCGAGGGAATCAAATCCCCCACATTCCAGTCCCGAGGGAATCAAATCTCCCAATCCCAAAGGAGTTACAGTTCCCACATTCCAATCCCAAGGGAATTCAATCTCCCAGTTCCAATCCCAAAGGAATTAAAGTTCCCGCATTCCAATCCTGAGGGAATCAAATTCCCCACATTCCAATCCCGAAGGAATTAAAGTTCCCACATTTCAACCAAGGAATTAAAGGGAATTCAGTCTCCCAATCCCAAGGGAATCAAATTTCCCACATTCCAGTCCCGAGGGAATCAAATCTCCCAATCCCAAAGGAGTTACAGTTCCCACATTCCAATCCCAAGGGAATTCAGTCTCCCAGTTCCAATCCCGAAGGAATTAACGGTCCCGCATTCTAATTCTGAAGGAATTCAATCTCCCAATCCCAAGGGAATCCAATGCCCCACATCCCAATCCCAAGGGAATCAAATCCCCCACGTTCCAGTCTTGAGGGAATTCAAGCTCCCAATCCCAAAGGAATTCCATCTCCCACATTCCAATCCCAAAGGAGTTCAGTCTCCCAATTCCAGTGCTGAGGGAATCAGATCTCCCACGTTCCACTCCCGAAGGAATCAAAGTTCCCACATTCCAATCCTAAAGGAATCAAATCCCCCAATTCAAATCCCGAGGGAATCAAATCCCCCACATTCCAGTCCCGAGGGAATCAAATCCCCCACATTCCAATCCCATGGGAATCAAATCTCCCACATTCCAATCCCGAAGGAATTAACGGTCCCGCATTCTAATTCTGAAGGAATTCAATCTCCCAATCCCAAGGGAATCCAATGCCCCACATCCCAAGGGAATCAAAATTTCCCACATTCCAGTCCCGAGGGAATCAAATCTCCCAATCCCAAAGGAGTTACAGTTCCCACATTCCAATCCCAAGGGAATTCAGTCTCCAAATCCCAATCCCAAAGGAATTGAAGTTCCCACATTCCAATCCCAAGCGAATTCAATATCCCAATCCCAAGGGAATTCAGTCTCCCAATCCCAAAGGAGTTACAGTTTCCACATTCCAATCCCAAGGGAATTCAGTCTCTCAGTTCCAATCCCAAAGGATTCAAATCCCCCACATTCCAATCCCGAAGGAATTAAAGTTCCCACATTTCAATCCCAAGGGAATTTAATCCCCCGCATTCCAATCCCAAGGGAATCAAACCTCCCAATCCCAAGGGAATTCCATCTCCAAATCCCGATCCCGAAGGAATTAAAGTTCCCACATTCCAATCCCAAAGGAATTAAAGTTCCCACATTCCAATCCCAAGGGAATTCAGTCTCCAAATCCCAATCCCAAAGGAATTGAAGTTCCCACATTCCAATCCCAAGCGAATTCAATATCCCAATCCCAAGGGAATTCAGTCTCCCAATTCCAATCCCGAGGGAATAAAATTTTCCACATTCCAATCCCAAAGGAATCAAATCCCCCAATTCCAATCCCAAAGGAATTCAGTCTCCCAATCCTAAGGGAATTCAATCTCCCCCATTCCAGTGTGAGATCCTGGATCCTTGAGATCCATGGAAAATCCTCGATCCCCGGATCCCGATCCCGGCGGGGATGGGATCCCGGGGTGACAATTCCATGGAGGGATTTTCCCCTCTGGGTGGGGGAGACTTTTCCATGAACAAGGCTGGAAAATTCCCCATCAGGAGGAGATTTGGGAATTTGGGATGGAGCAGGAGGGGTTTGCACAGCTCCTTCCCCTTCCTGGAGCGTGGGATCCTTTTTCCATCGGGATTTTAATCCTTTTATCCGCTTGGAATCACTTTGGGAGTCCTGGGAACGCCCAGATCCATGGGGAAAGTGTCCAGAATCCCAGGAAATCCCTGGATTTGGGATTGCTGGGGGTGGGCAGAGCAGATTTTTTTGGGATGGGTTGGGTTAGGATTAAGATTCCCATAGGAATCCGAAACCCAAGGACAGGATCAAGGTTGATCCTAAACGAGGATCCCATGGGATCAGCGAGTTCCAGAAAAATTCATGGGAACACCCCAAAATCTGGGAATGTGCCATTCCCGTTGGATCCCGGGGCTGGGAATTGCTGGAATTCCTGGGGTTGTCCAGTCTGGGAATTGCTGGGGGTGGAAATCCCATCTCTGCCATTCCCGTTGGATCCCGGGGCTGGGAATTGCTGGAATTCCTGGGGTTGTCCAATCTGGGAATTGCTGGGGGTGGGCAGAGCAGATTTTTCGGGATCAACTTGGGAATGTGAAATGCGAGCCCTGCAGGACGGGATCATCCCTGATCCCAAAGGAGGATCCCGTGGGATCAGCGGTGACCCCAAAGGCCGTCCCAAACCTTTTCCAGGTGCTCCTCAGTTCCCTGGAGGAGCAGATCCCAGGATTCCCGGCGTGCTGGAGGGCGCAGGACCCGCTCCAAGCCCCGTCCCTGCCCGCTCCCGGCATTCCCGAGAGATCCGTGTCCAGCAGCATCGACGTTCCCAAAAGGTCGGTGCCTTGTCCTGGGATCCCAAATCCTGGGATTCCCCAGTCTGGATCCCAAATCCTGGCATGGCCCAACTTGGATCCCAAATCCTGGCATGACCCAACCAAATCTTGGGATATCCCAGAGTTTCTGTGCCTGAGATTCCCCAGTTTGGATCCCAAATCCAGGGATTCCCCAATTTGCATCCCAAACTCTGGGATTCCCCGGTTTGGATCCCAGAGTTTTTCCACCTAAGATTCCCCAACTTGGATCCCAAATCCTAGGTTTCCACAATTTGGATCCCAAATCCTGAGATATTCCTGATTTGGATCCCAAATCCTGGGATATCCCAGAGTTTCTGTGCCTGAGATTCCCCAGTTTGGATCCCAAATCCTGGAATTCTCCAATTTGGGTCACGAATCCTGGGATTCCCCAATTTCGATCCTGAATCTTTGGGTCATAAATCCTGGGATATCCCAGAGTTTCTCCACATAAGGTTCCCCAATTTGGATCCCAAATCCTGGAATATCCTGGATTCTCCATGTGAGATTCCCCAGTTTGAATCCTAAATTGTTGGATTCCACGGTTTGGATCCCAAATCCTGAGATTCCCCAGTCTGGATCCCAAATCCTGCAATTCCCCAGTTTGGATCCCAGATCCTGGGATTCTCCAATTGGGGTCATAAATCCTGGCATCTCCCAGAGTTTCTCCACAGAAGATTCCCCGATTTGGATCCCAGGTCCTGGAATTCCTCGATTTAAATCCCGAATCCCAGAGCACCTCACCATTCCAGGTCCAGCTCCTCCTTCCCCAGGGCGTTTCCATTTCCATTCGGGATTTCCGGGATCTTCCCTTCCTTTTCCCGCCCCTCCTTCCCAGGGGCGTGGGGAGGGAATCCGGGTGGGCTCGGGGGGACATTTTGGCTCTCCAGGGGCCGTTCCCAACGTTTTCCCGACGTTTTCCTGACATTTTTCCCAACGTTTTCCCCAACGTTTTCCCAACGTTTTCCCCAACGTTTTCCCGATGGTTTTCTCTGCGTTTTCCCAACGTTTCCCTGATGTTTTCCTCGACGTTTTTCCGAACGTTTTCCCGACATTTTTCCGACGTTTTTCCCAACCTTTTCCCAATGGTTTCCCCACATTTTCCCATCATTTTCCCGATGTTTTTCCCCGACGTTTTTCCAAACGTTTTCCCATCATTTTCCCGATGTTTTTCCCTGGCGTTTTCCCGATGTTTTCCCAACACTTTTCCCAACGTTTTCCCAACATTTTTCCCAACGTTTCCCCAACATTTTCCCCAATGTTTTTCCCAACGGTTTTCCTGACATTTTCCCTGCGTTTTCCCAACATTTTCCCCGCCCTTTTCCCGACGCTTTTCCTACTTTTTCTCGATGTCTTTCCCGACGTTTTCCCCAACCTTTTCTCGACGTTTTTCCTGATGGTTTTCCCGACGTTTTCCTCACATTTTTCCCAATATTTTCCTGATGTTTTCCCCACATTTTCCCGACATTTCCCCGACATTTTTCCCGATGTTTTCCCCGATGGTTTTCCCGACATTTTCCCTGCGTTTTCCTGATTCCCGAGAGATCCGTGTCCAGCAGCATCGACGTTCCCAAAAGGTCGGTGCCTTGTCCTGGGATCCCAAATCCTGGGATTCCCCAGTCTGGATCCCAAATCCTGGCATGGCCCAACTTGGATCCCAAATCCTGGCATGACCCAACCAAATCTTGGGATATCCCAGAGTTTCTGTGCCTGAGATTCCCCAGTTTGGATCCCAAATCCAGGGATTCCCCAATTTGCATCCCAAACTCTGGGATTCCCCAGTTTGGATCCCAGAGTTTTTCCACCTAAGATTCCCCAACTTGGATCCCAAATCCTAGGTTTCCACAATTTGGATCCCAAATCCTGAGATATTCCTGATTTGGATCCCAAATCCTGGGATATCCCAGAGTTTCTGTGCCTGAGATTCCCCAGTTTGGATCCCAAATCCTGGAATTCTCCAATTTGGGTCACGAATCCTGGGATTCCCCAATTTCGATCCTGAATCTTTGGGTCATAAATCCTGGGATATCCCAGAGTTTCTCCACATAAGGTTCCCCAATTTGGATCCCAAATCCTGGAATATCCTGGATTCTCCATGTGAGATTCCCCAGTTTGAATCCTAAATTGTTGGATTCCACGGTTTGGATCCCAAATCCTGAGATTCCCCAGTCTGGATCCCAAATCCTGCAATTCCCCAGTTTGGATCCCAGATCCTGGGATTCTCCAATTGGGGTCATAAATCCTGGCATCTCCCAGAGTTTCTCCACAGAAGATTCCCCGATTTGGATCCCAGGTCCTGGAATTCCTCGATTTAAATCCCGAATCCCAGAGCACCTCACCATTCCAGGTCCAGCTCCTCCTTCCCCAGGGCGTTTCCATTTCCATTCGGGATTTCCGGGATCTTCCCTTCCTTTTCCCGCCCCTCCTTCCCAGGGGCGTGGGGAGGGAAGCCGGGTGGGCTCGGGGGGACATGTTGGCGCTCCAGGGGCCGTTCCCAACGTTTTCCCGACGTTTTCCTGACATTTTTCCCAACGTTTTCCCCAACGTTTTCCCAACGTTTTCCCCAACGTTTTCCCGATGGTTTTCTCTGCGTTTTCCCAACGTTTCCCTGATGTTTTCCTCGACGTTTTTCCGAACGTTTTCCCGACATTTTTCCGACGTTTTTCCCAACCTTTTCCCAATGGTTTCCCCACATTTTCCCATCATTTTCCCGATGTTTTTCCCCGACGTTTTTCCAAACGTTTTCCCATCATTTTCCCGATGTTTTTCCCTGGCGTTTTCCCGATGTTTTCCCAACACTTTTCCCAACGTTTTCCCAACATTTTTCCCAACGTTTCCCCAACATTTTCCCTGCGTTTTCCTGACATTTCCCCCGACCTTTTCCCAATGCTTTTCCCGACGTTTTCCCCAACCTTTTCTCGACGTTTTTCCTGATGGTTTTCCCGACATTTTCCCTGCGTTTTCCCAACATTTTCCCCAATGTTTTTCCCAACGGTTTTCCTGACATTTTCCCTGCGTTTTCCCAACATTTTCCCCGACCTTTTCCCGACGCTTTTCCTACTTTTTCTCGATGTCTTCCCCAACCTTTTCCCAACGTTTTTCCGACGTTTTCCCATCATTTTCCTGATGTTTTTCCCTGACGTTTTCCCAACATTTTCCCAACGTTTTCCCGACATTTTTCCCAACGTTTTCCCAATGTTTTTCCCAACGTTTCCCCAACATTTTCCCCAATGTTTTTCCCGACGGTTTTCCTGACGTTTTCCCAACATTTTCCCGACGTTTCTCCTACGTTTTCTCGATGTTTTTCCCGACGTTTTCCCCAACCTTTTCTCGACGTTTTTCCTGATGGTTTTCTCGACGCTTTCCTGACGTTTTCCCCACATTTTTCCCAATATTTTCCCGATGTTTTCCCCACATTTTCCCCACATTTCCCCGACATTTTTCCCGACATTTTCCCTGCGTTTTCCTGACATTTTCCCCGACCTTTTCCCAACATTTTTCCCGACGTTTTCCCTCATGGTTTTCCCGATGGTTTTCCCGACGTTTCCCTGATCTTTTCCTGACATTTTCCCCACGTTTTTCCCGACATTTCCCGACATTTTACCCAACGTTTTCCCCATGTTTTCGCGACGTAAATCTGGGAGAAACATGATCCTGTCTGCCAGGGAATTCCAGATCCACGTCCCCACGTGGAACTTCCGTGGGGATTTGGAATTCCTCAGGAATGGGGAAGAAATTGTTCCCAAAGTCCAACCTGAACTTCCCTGGAAAAATCTGGGAGAAATCCCGATCCCACCTGCCAGGGAATTCCAGATCCTTGTCCCCAAGTGCCGCATGCACAGGGATTTGGAATTCCTCTGGGAATGGGGATTCCAAAGCTCCCTGGAAAAGCCATTCCATGAAGGAATTCCCAAAATCCAACCTGAACTTCTCCTGGAAGAATTTAAGTCCATTTCCTGGGAAAAATCCCAGTTCCTCCTGCCAGGGAATTCCAGATCCACGTCCCCAAGTGCCACTTCCATAGGGATTTGGAATTCCTCTGGGAATGGGGAAGAAATTGTTCCCAAATTCCAGCCTGGAACAACGTGGGAGAAGTCCCGATCCCACCTGGCCGCTCCCTGGTCCCAGGGAATTCCAGGGAGGAGAATTCCCTCTGCACCCTGGCGCGGCTCCGGGTGTCCCCTCGGTGCCACCGCCTGCCAGGGGACAATTCCCGGTCACGGCTTTTTTTGGGAATGACTCCTTCATTCCCGAGGAGTCAGCGGCTCCCGGGAGGGACAAAAATAACCCAGAGCGGCGGGAAACGCCCGCGGTCACCCGGGGTGGCACCAAGGGGACAGTCCTGGGGGTGACACAAAGGGGACAGTCCGGGGTGGCACCAAGGGGACAATCAGGGGTGGCACCAAGGGGACAGTCCCAGGGTGACACAAAGGGGACAGTCCCGGGGTGGCACTAAGGGGACAGTCCGGGAGTGGCACCAAGGGGACAGTCCGGGGGTGGCACAAAGGGGACAATCCCAGGGTGGCACCAAGGGGACAATTGGGGGTGGCACTAAGGGGACAGTTGGGGGTGGCACCAAGGGGACAGTCTGGGGTGACACAGAGGGGACAATCCCGGGGTGGCACCAAGGGGACAGTCCGGGGTGACACAAATGGGACAGTCTGGGGTGACACCAAGGGGACAATCCCAGGGTGGCACCAAGGGGACAATCCGGGGTGACACCAAGGGGACAATCCCAGGGTGGCACCAAGGGGACAATCCCAGGGTGGCACCAAGGGGACAATCCCAGGGTGGCACCAAGGGGACAATCCCAGGGTGGCACCAAGGGGACAATCCCAGGGTGGCACCAAGGGGACAATCGGGGGTGGCACCAAGGGGACAGTCCGGGGTGGCACCAAGGGGACAATCCTGGGGGTGGCACCAAGGGGACAATCCCAGGGTGGCACCAAGGGGACAGTCCGCACAGGGATTTGGAATTCCTCTGGGAATGGGGATTCCAAAGCTCCCTGGAAAAGCCATTCCATGAAGGAATTCCCAAAATCCAACCTGAACTTCTCCTGGAAGAATTTAAGTCCATTTCCTGGGAAAAATCCCAGTTCCTCCTGCCAGGGAATTCCAGATCCACGTCCCCAAGTGCCACTTCCATGGGGAGTTGGAATTCCTCTGGGAATGGGGAAGAAATTGTTCCCAAATTCCAGCCTGGAACAACGTGGGAGAAGTCCCAATCCCACCTGGCCACTCCCTGATCCCAGGGAATTCCAGGGAGGAGAATTCCCTCTGCACCCTGCCGGGGGGACAGTCCCGGGGTGGCACCAAGGGGACAATCCTGGGGGTGGCACCAAGGGGACAATCCCAGGGTGGCACCAAGGGGACAGTCCCGGGGTGGCACCAAGGGGACAGTCCAGGGGTGGCACCAAGGGGACAATCGGGGGTGGCACCAAGGGGACAGTCCAGGGTGACACCAAAGGGACAGTCCGGGGGTGGCACCAAGGGGACAGTCCGGAGTGGCACCAAGGGGACAATCAGGGGTGGCACCAAGGGGACAGTTCCGGGGTGGCACTAAGGGGACAGTCCGGGGGTGACACAAAGGGGACAGTCCTGGGGTGACACAAAAGGGACAGTCCCGGGGTGGCACTAAGGGGACAGTCCCGGGGTGGCACAAATGGGACAGTCCCAGGGTGGCACCAAGGGGAATTGGGACAAACAGGGAGAGGCATCAAAGTTTGGGATAAAACTCTGGGAATTTCCCTGGATTGAACCCCCGAGCTCCAAGCGGAGCTGGGCTTCAGGGCAAGGGCATTGTCCCCAAGGTGACAGTGGCACTGTGTCCCCGAGGTGACAGTGGCACTGTGTCCCCTCAGGGGTTCAGTTGTCCCTCTGTCCCAGAGGTGACAATGACACCGTGTCTCCTCTGTAGTTCAGCTGTCCCTGTGTCCCTGAGGTGACAATGGCCGGACAGTCCTGGGGTGACACAAAAGGGACAGTCCCGGGGTGGCACTAAGGGGACAGTCCCGGGGTGGCACAAATGGGACAGTCCCAGGGTGGCACCAAGGGGAATTGGGACAAACAGGGAGAGGCATCAAAGTTTGGGATAAAACTCTGGGAATTTCCCTGGATTGAACCCCCGAGCTCCAAGCGGAGCTGGGCTTCAGGGCAAGGGCATTGTCCCCAAGGTGACAGTGGCACTGTGTCCCCGAGGTGACAGTGGCACTGTGTCCCCTCAGGGGTTCAGTTGTCCCTGAGGTGACAATGGCACTGTGTCCCCTCTGGGTTTAAGTTGTCCCCAAGGTGACAATGGCCCTGTGTCCCTTCAGGGCTTCAGCTGTCCCCAAGGTGACAATGGCCCTGTATCTCTTCAGGGGCTCAGTGGCCCAGTGTCCCCTCAGGGACTCAGATGTCCCCATGTCCCCTTGGTAACAATGTCACCATGACCCCTCGGTGACAACACCACCGCCTCCCTTCAGGAGTTCAGCTGTCCCTGTGTCCCTGAGGTGACAATGACCCCGTGTCCCTTCAGGGATTCAGTGGCCGGGTGTCCCTTGGCCACCGTGTCCCCTTGGTGTCCCTTAGCCACCGTGTCCCCTCGGTGTCCCTTGGCCACCGTGTCCCCCGAGGAGTTCAGCTGTCCCTGTATCCCCTCGGTGACAGTGCCACAGTGTCCCCTCGGTGACAGTGCCACCGTGTCCCCTCTCTCAGCCTCGCAGGCGGCCGGTGACCCCTGGAAGGACAGCGGGGACATTTCGGACAGTGGCAGCAGCACCACCAGCGGTCACTGGAGCAGCGCTGGCAGTGCCACCGCGTCCCCTCCGCACTGTCCCGGCAGTGCCACCGCGTCCCCTCCTCACCACCCTGGCAGTGCCACCGCGTCCCCTCCCCCCCGTGCTGGCAGTGTCACCTTGTCCCCTCTGAGCGATGACGGCTTCGACACCGACCCCGAGCCCCCAGCGCCGGACGAGCCCGCGCCGCGCCGCAGGAAGGTGAGTGCCGGTGTCCCTGTGCCCGCGGGCAGGGGACGGTGACAGCGGGCAGGGGACGGTGCCAGCGGGCAGGGGACGGTGACAGTGGGCAGGGGACGGTGCCAGCGGGGAGGGGACGGTGACAGCGGGGAGGGGACGGTGACAGCGGGCAGGGGACGGTGCCAGCGGGGAGGGGACGGTGCCCGCGGGCAGGGGACGGTGACAGCGGGGAGGGGATGGTGCCACCGCGCGGGGTGACAGCGCTCTCTGTCCCCAGGGCTCGGCCAGGCTGCTGTTCAAGTGCCTGTGGCCCGGCTGCGGCAAAGTGCTGCGCTCCGGCGTCGGCATCAAGCGCCACGTGCGCACCCGGCACCTGGGGTAAGGCACTGGGGCTGCGGGATTCCCGGGATTCCCAGAATTCCCGGAATTCCCGGGATTCCCGGGATTCCCGGAGCTCCGGAGCCGGGTCCTTCCCGGGATCCCGGAGGATCCGGGTCCTTTCTATGCCGTGAACTGATTCTGATATCCCGGATTTGGGGCTTTTCCATCCCAGCTCCATCCATTGATCCCAATTCCCGGTGATCCCAAATCCAGGCATTTCCCATCCCAGATCCCGGTCATCCCAAATCCAGGTGTTTTCCATCCCAGCTCCATCCATTGATCCCAAATCCCGGTGATCCCAAATCCAGGTGATTTCCATCCCAGCTCCATCCATTGATTCCAGATCCCGGTGATCCCAAATCCAGGCATTTCCCATCCCAGATCCCGGTCATCCCAAATCCAGGTGTTTTCCATCCCAGCTCCATCCATTGATCCCAAATCCCGGTGATCCCAAATCCAGGTGATTTCCATCCCAGCTCCATCCATTGATTCCAGATCCCGGTGATCCCAAATTCAGGCCCTTCCCATCCCAAATCCCAGTGATCCCAAATCCCAGTGATCCCAAATCCAGGCCCTTCCCATCCCAAATCCCAGTGATCCCAAATCCCAGTGATCCCAAATCCAGGTTCAGCTGTCCCTGTATCCCCTCGGTGACAGTGCCACAGTGTCCCCTCAGTGACAGTGCCACCGTGTCCCCTCTCTCAGCCTCGCAGGCGGCCGGTGACCCCTGGAAGGACAGCGGGGACATTTCGGACAGTGGCAGCAGCACCACCAGCGGTCACTGGAGCAGCGCTGGCAGTGCCACCGCGTCCCCTCCGCACTGTCCCGGCAGTGCCACCGCGTCCCCTCCTCACCACCCTGGCAGTGCCACTGCGTCCCCTCCGCACTGTCCCGGCAGTGCCACCGCGTCCCCTCCCCACTGTCCCAGCAGTGCCACCGCGTCCCCTCCTCATTACCCTGGCAGTGCCACCGCGTCCCCTCCTCACCACCCTGGCAGTGCCACCGCGTCCCCTCCCCCCCGTGCTGGCAGTGTCACCTTGTCCCCTCTGAGCGATGACGGCTTCGACACCGACCCCGAGCCCCCAGCGCCGGACGAGCCCGCGCCGCGCCGCAGGAAGGTGGGTGCCGGTGTCCCTGTGCCCGCGGGCAGGGGACGGTGACAGCGGGCAGGGGACGGTGACAGCGGGGAGGGGATGGTGCCACCGCGCGGGGTGACAGCGCTCTCTGTCCCCAGGGCTCGGCCAGGCTGCTGTTCAAGTGCCTGTGGCCCGGCTGCGGCAAAGTGCTGCGCTCCGGCGTCGGCATCAAGCGCCACGTGCGCACCCGGCACCTGGGGTAAGGCACTGGGGCTGCGGGATTCCCGGGATTCCCGGGATTCCCGGAATTCCCGGGATTCCCGGGATTCCCGGGCCCAAACTCCTGGGAATGATCCCTCTGGAATTGCCAGTTCCTGTGGGAAATCCCGTGGGAAATGGGCACTTCCATGTCACCAAAGCCGTTGTCCCTCTCTTGTCACCCGTGTCCCTTTGCTGTCACCTTTATCCCTCTGTTGTCACCTCTGTCCCTTCGCTGTCACCTGTGTCCCTGTGTCCTTCTGTTGTTGTCACCCGTGTCCCTGTGTCCCCCTGTTGTCAACTGTGTCCCTCTGTTGCTGTCTGCCATGTCTCTCTGTTGTCCCCCATGTTGCTGTCACCCATGTCTCCGTGTTGCTGTCCTGTGTCCCTCTGTTGTCCCCTGTGTCCCTCTGTTCTCCCTATGTATGCTGTCCCCCATGTCCCCGTGTCCCTGTGTTGCTGTCCTCCATGTCCCCATGTCCCCGTGTCCCCATGTCCCTGTGTCCCATGTCCCCGTGTCCCCGTGTTGCTGTCCCCATGTCCCCATGTATGCTGTTCCCCATGTCCCTGTGTTGCTGTCCCCCATGTCCCCGTGTCCCCGTCCCCATGTCCCCGTGTCCCGTGTCCTGGCTGGGGACAGAGCGGGGGACATGGCTGGGGCCAGCCCTGGGGACAGCCCTGGGGACAGCCCTGGGGATAGAGCTGGGGACAGAGCTGGGAACAGCCCTGGGGACAGCCCTGGGGACAGAGCTGAGGACATCGTGGGGACACAGCTGGGGACAGAGCTGGGACACAGCTGGGGGCATCCATGAGGACATCAGGGACATGGCTGGGGACATCCATGGGGATAGAGCTGGGACATTGGGGACATCCCTGGGGACATCCCTGGGGACAGCGGGGACATGGCTGGGGACTGAGCTGGGGGTAGAGATGGAACGTGGCTGGGGACAGAGCTGGGACATTGGGGACCTGCCTGGGGACATCCACAGGGATAGAACTGGGGATGTGAGGACAGAGCTGGGGACATGGCTGAGGGCATCCATGGGGACAGATATGGGGACATCCCTGGGGACATCCATGGGGACAGAGGTGGGGACAGAGCTGGGGTAGACCTGGCTGGGGACAGGGCTGGGACACTGGGGACATCCATGGGGGCATCCATGGGGATGTTGGGGACATCATGGGGACAGAGCTGGGGACATCACTGGTGGCATCACTGGGGACAGAGTTGGGGACATGGCTGGGGATAGAGATGGGAACATTCCAGGATTCTGTCCCTGTCCCTGTCCCCAGCTCAGGGATTTGTGTCCCTGTCCCAAACTCAGGGATTTCAGTCTCTGTCCCTGTCCCCAGCTCAGGGATTTGTGTCCCTGTCCCCTGGTGTCCCCTGCCCGGGTGTGGCTTCCAGCTGTGCCCCCCCACCCCATGGGCCCTTCTTCCCCTCTTTTCCCCTTACCCCCCTTTCCAGCCAATCACACTTTTGCACAGACCCCTCAAAACCCCTCACCTTGATCTTTTAATCCCATTTTTCCCTCTTTTTCCCCTTTTTATCCCTTTTTCTCCTTTTCCCCTTCTTTTTCCCCCTTCCCCCCTCTTCCCCTCAATTTCCCCTCAATTTCCCTCCTTTTTCCCATCCCTTCCCCCATTTTTCCTCATTTTCTCAGTCCTATTTCCCTCCTTTTTTTCCTTCCTTTTTTCCTCTCCTTTTCCCTTCATTTCTCTTTCCTTTTCCCTCATTTTTTCCCTTTTTCCCTCCTTTTTCCCCCACTTCCTGCTCTTTTTTCCCCTCCTTTTTTTCCCACCCTTTTCCCCCCTTCCCCCGTCCTTCCCATCCAAGCACACTTTTGCACAGAGCCCTCAAAACCCCTCTCCTCGACCTTTTTATCCCTTTTTCTCCTCCTTTTCCCCCTTTTTATCCCTTTTCCCCCTTTTTTCCTCCTTTTCCCTTCATTTTCCATTTCCCTTCCTTTTTCCCTCCCTTTCCCTCCTTTTCCCCATCCTTTCCCCCATTTTTTCCTCATTTTCTCAGTCCTATTTCCCTCCTTTTTTCCTTCCTTTTTTCCTCTCCTTTTCCCTTCATTTTTCCTTCTCTTTTCCCTCACTTTTTCCCTTTTTTCTCCTTTTTCCCCCCCTTCCCGCTCTTTTTTTCCCGCCCTTTTTTCCCGCCCTTTTTTCCCGCCCTTTTCCCCTCCCTTCCCACCTTTCCCATCCGAGCACACTTTTGCACAGAGCCCTCAAAACCCCTCGCCTCCACCTTTTCATCCCCTTTTACCCCCTTTTCATCCCTTTTTCCCCCCTTTTCTCCCCTTTTTTGCCCTTTTTGCCCCTTTTCCCCCCTCAGGCGCGGAGCCGCTCCCTCAGCCTCAGCGACCCTCAGGCCCCTCAGCCGCCGCCATTGCTGCCGCCCCGGCTCCTCGTGGCCTCCCCGCCCCGCGCCTCCCTCAGCACCAGGTAAGACCCCAAAAAACCCCGAAAACCCCCAAAATCCCTCAGCCCACCAGCGGGAAAACCCAGTAATTCCCCCTTTTCCCAGAAAAACCCGCGGCGAAGCCAAGAAATGCCGCAAGGTTTACGGCATCGAGCACCGGGAGCAGTGGTGCACGGCGTGCCGCTGGAAAAAGGCCTGCCAGCGCTTCCTGGACTGAATTTCACTGCCCCGTTCCCCCGTGCCCACCTGGAATTCCCTCAGGAGTCTGGGAATTCCCTCAGGAATTTGGGAATTCCCTCAGAAATCCGGGAGTCCTTCGTTGCTGCGAGTGGAGACTGAATTTCGCTGCCGCATTCCTCTTTTCCCGCCCAAATTCCCTCAGAAATCTGGGAATTCCCTCATAAATTTGGGAATTTCCTCAGGAATTTTCTCATTGCTGCAAGCAGAGACTGAATTCTGCCCCATTATTCCCCTTTTCCCACCTGGAATTCCCTCAGGAATCAGGGAATTTTCTCATTGCTGTGAGCAGAGACTGAATTCCACCTCCTTATTCCCATTTTCCCACCTGGAATTCCCTCAGAAATCTGGGAATTCCCTCAGAAATTTGGGAATTGCCTCGCGAATTTGGGAATTTCCTCATTTGCTGTGAGCAGAGACTGAATTTCGCCTCCATATTCTCCTTTTCCCACCTGAATTCCCTCAGGAATTTGGGAATTCCCTCAGGAAATCCCTCAGAAATCTGGGAATTTCCTCAGAAATTTGGGAATTTCCTCGGGAATTTAGGAATTTCCTCATTGCTGCAAGCAGACACTGAATTCCATCCCATTATTTCCCTTTTCCCACCCAGATTCCTTCAGAAATCTGGGAATTCCCTCAGAAATCTGGGAATCCCCTGGGAAATTTGGGAATTTTAATTTAAAAATTCCCATTTTTCCCACTTTTCAACCTGATCAATTCCCCGTGGCATCAGCAAAGGAGGAAATTTTGTCCTGAGTGCTTTGGGGACCCAAAATTTTCCCGAATTTCCCAGATTTGCTGGAAAATGCCCCAAAAATGGGACAGGGATGAAGTTTTAGGGACAAAAATTGGGATTTTGAAACCCAAGAGAGATTTTAGGACCGTTTTTGGGGACAAAAATTCAAATTTTAAAAAATCATGAGAGTTTTTTGGGCCATTTTTCTCCTTTTCCTCCTTTTTTTCTCCTTTTTTCCTTCTTTTTTCCTCCTTTTTCTTTTTCCTCATTTTTTCTCCTTTTTTCTTCCCTTTGTCCTCATTTTTTCTCTTCCTTTTCTCCTCCTTTTTTCTTTCTTTCCCCCCTTTTCCCCCTCCTTTTTCCTCTTCCTTTTTCCTCCTTTTTTCCCCTCATTTTTTCTCCTTTTTGTCTCCTTTTTCCCCTTTTTTTCCTCCTCCTTTTCCTCATTTTTTCCCTTTTTTTCCTTCCCCTCTTCCTCTTTTTCTCCTCCATTTTCCTCCTCCTTTTCCTCATTTTTTCCCTTTTTTCCTTCTCCTCTTCCTCTTTTTCTCCTCCTTTTTCTCCTTTATTTTCCTCCTTTTTTTCCTCCCTCCTTTTTCTCTCCTTTTTCTCTCCCTGGGTGGCTCATTTATTAAACTTCTCCTTTCCTTCTGTGAATATCTTGAATTTTTCCCACCTCAAACCCAAAATCTCCACCTTTCCCAGCAATCCCAGCAGCTTCTTGGCTACAACTCAAGAAATATTTGGAATTTCCCCCACTCATTCCTGAGGAATCCTCCCTCCCTTTCCCAGCTTCTCAGTCTTCCAAATACTATTTTTATTGTTAAAAAAAAAAGAAAAATAAAGGTTTAAAAAATCCTTTTTTTTTTACAGCAGCCAGAGGAAATGATGGATTAGATTTTTATTTTAAGGAAATAAAAGGAATTTTGCTGGCTCTGGGATTGGCTCCAGGGGGGTTTGGGGGTGGGGACGTTGCTGCTGCTTCTCGTCCTGGAGGAGCTTTGGTGCCTTTGCTTCCTTTTTTTGTCCTTTTTCCTTTTTTTCCTCCTTTTTTCCCTGTTTTCCTCCATTTTTCATCCTTTTTTCCCCTTTCCCCTCTTCATTTCCTCCTTTTTCCCTCCTAATTTCCTCCTTTTTTCCTTGTTTTCCTCCTTTTTCCCTCCTCATTTCCTCCATTTTCCCCCTCCCTTCCCCCCTCATTTTCCTTAATTTCCCCTTTTTTCCTCATTTTTCCTCCTTTTTTCCTTGTTTTCCTCCCTTTTCCCCTGTTTTCCTCCTTTTCCCCCTCCCTTTCCCCTCCTATTTTCCTTTTTCCCCTTCTGTTTTCCCCTCCTGTTTTCCTCTCTCCTTTTCCCCCAATTTCCTTTTTTCCCTCTTTTTTCCTCTCCTTTTTTCCTATTTTTTCCTCCTTTTTCCTCTCTCCTTTCCCCCTCCTAATTCCCTTTTTTCCCCTCATTTTTCCCCCTTTCCCCTCCTCATTTCCTCCTTTTTTCCTGATTTTCCTCCTTTTCCCTCTCTCCTTTCCCCCTCCCTTTTCATTTCTAATTTTTTCCTTTTTTCCCCTTTTTTCCCTTGTTCTCCTCCTCATTCCCTCCTTTTTTCCCCATTTTTCTGTTTCCTCATTTTTCTTATAATTTCCTCCTTTTTTCCTCCTTTTTACCCATTTTCCTCCTCATTTCCTCCTTTTTTCTTCCTTTTTTCCCCATTTGCCTCCTCGTTTCCTCATTTTGGAGAATTCCATGGGATTGTGGGGACACAAATCCTGGCTTTCCATCTTGGAGAATTCCATGGGATTGTGGGGACAGAAATCCCGGTTTTCCATGCTGGAGAATTCCATGGGATTGTGGGGACACAAATCCCGGTTTTCCATGTTGGAGAATTCCATGGGATTGTGGGGACACAAATCCCGCTTTTCCATCCTGGAGAATTCCATGGGGTTGTGGGGACACAAATCCCGGTTTTCCATCCTGCAGAATTCCATGGGGTTGTCGGGACACAAATCCCGGTTTTCCATCTTGGAGAATTCCATGGGGTTCCTGGATCCCTGGAGATTCCATGGGGTCAAAAGTCTGGGATTTGGCCTTGGAAAGGTCACATTGCTGAGCTCATCCCGTGGATCCGAGCTGTCCCGATCCCTCTGGAGATCCCAAATCCCAGGGATCTGAGCTGTCCTGATCCCACAGATCCAAGCTGTCCAGATCCCTCAGAATTCCCAAATCGCGTGGATCCAACCTGAGCTCATCCCATGGATTGGGAGTTGTCCCAGTCCCACGGATCTGACCCGTCCTGATCCCTCTGGAGATCCCAAATCCCACAGAGCCATCCTGTCCTGATCCCATGGATCCGAGCTGTCCCAAATCCCACAGATCTGACCCATCCCAATCCCTCTGGAATTCCCAAATCCCATGGGTCCAACCTGTCCCGATCCCTCTGGAGATCCCAAATCCCACGGATCCGACCTGAGCTCATCCCATGGACCTGACCTGTCCCGATCCATCCAGAATTCCCAAATCCCCTGGATCTGACCCATCCCAAACCCTCAGAGTTCCCAAATCTCATGGATCTGCCCTGTCCCAAATCCTGTGGATCCAACCTGTCCCGATCCCTCTGGAGATCCGAAATCCCACAGATCCAACCTGTCCTGATCCCTCTGGAATTCCCAAATCCCCTGGATCCGACCTGTCCTGATCCATTCAGAATTCCCAAATCCCACAGATCCGACCTGTTCCATTCCCAATCCTGATCCCAATCCCTCTGGAGATCCCAAATCCCACAGGTCTGACCTGTCCCGATCCATTCGAAATTCCCAAATCCCCTCTATCTGACCTGTCCCGGTCTCTCTGGAGATCCCAAATCCACGATCCCACCTGTCCTGATCCCACAGATCCCACCTGTCCCAATCCAAATCCCTCTGGAGACCCCAAATCCCATCAATCTGAGCTGTCCCGATCCCACAGATCCAACCTGTCCTGATCCCATGGATCCGAGCTGTCCCAAATCCCACAGATCTGACCCATCCCAATCCCTCTGGAGATCCCAAACCCCACAGATCCAACCTGTCCTGATCCCTCTGGAATTCCCAAATCCCACAGATCCAACCTGTCCCAGTCACTCTGGAGATCCCAAATCCACGATCCCACCTGTCCCGATCCCACGGATCTGACCTGTCCTGATCCCTCTGGTGATCCCAAATCCCATGGATCCCACCTGTCCCAATCCCAGTCCCTCTGGAGACCCCAAATCCCATTGATCCCACAGATCCAACCTGTCCCGATCCCTCTGGAATTCCCAAATCCCACAGATCCAACCTGTCCCGATCCCACAGATCCAACCTGTCCTGATCCCTCTGGAGATCCCAAATCCCATGGATCCGTCCTGTCCCAATCCCATGGATCCAACGTGTCCTGATCCCTCCAGAATTCCCAAACCCCACTGGTCTGACCGGTCTGGATCCCACTGATCCCACCTGTCCTGATCCCTCAGATCCACCCTCTCCCAAATCCCATGGATCCAACCTGTCCTGATCCATTCAGAATTCCCAAATCCCACAGATCCGACCTCCAGAATTCCCAAATCCCACAGATCTGACCCATCCCCATTCCTCTGGAGAGCCCAAATCCCATGGATCCAACCTGTCCCGATCCCTGTAGAGATCCCAAATCCCACAGGTGTGACCTGTCCCCATCCATTCGGAATTCCCAAATCCCACGGATAGGACCTGTCCCGATCCCAATCCTGATCCCAATCCCTCTGGAGATCCCAAATCCCACAGATCTGACCTGTCCCGATCCCTCTGGAGATCCCAAATCCCACTGATCCCACCTGTCCCGATCCATTTGGAAATCCCAAATCCCACAGATCCGACCTGTCCCAATCCCAATCCCTGTGGAGATCCCAAATCCCGTGGATCTGCCCTGTCCCGATCCCTCTGGAATTCCCAAATCCCCTGGATCTGCCCTGTCCCGATCCCTCAGAATTCCCAAATCCCCTGGATCTGACCTGTCCCGATCCCTCAGAATTCCCAAATCCCGTGGATCTGCCATCCCGATCCCTCTGGAATATTCCCAAATCCCGTGGATCTGCCCTGTCCCGATCCCTCAGAATTCCCAAATCCCCTGGATCTGCCCTGTCCCGATCCCTCTGGAATTCCCAAATCCCGTGGATCTGCCCTGTCCCGATCCCTCTGGAATTCCCAAATCCCGTGGATCTGCCCTGTCCCGATCCCTCCAGAATTCCCAAATCCCGTGGATCTGCCCTGTCCCGATCCCTCTGGAATTCCCAAATCCCGTGGATCTGCCCTGTCCCGATCCCTCAGAATTCCCAAATCCCGTGGATCTGCCCTGTCCCGATCCCTCAGAATTCCCAAATCCCCTGGATCTGCCCTGTCCCGATCATTCTGGAATTCCCAAATTCCGTGGATCTGCCCTGTCCCGATCCCTCGGAATTCCCAAATCCCACCAGGTCACCGCACAGATCCGACCTCCAGGAGAATTCCAGGGGATTGGGCAATATCCCAAAAAAAACCCCAAAAAATCCTGGAATTCCTGGCATTGCCCATACCCCATTTTTCCCCTCAAAAATCCAATTTTTTTATCCTTTTTTAATCCCATTCTTCTTTCCATTGCTCTCTTATAAATCCCATTTTTTTTCCAGTAAAAAACCCCAAAAAATCCCTTTTTTTCCCAGAAAAAAATCCCATTTTCCCCCTGAAAAATCCCATTTTTTTCCAGAAAAGATCCCAAAAATTCCCATTTTCCCCCAGAAAATTCCCATCTTTTTCCCCATTAAAAAAACCCCAAAAATTCCCATTTTTCATCCATAAAACCCCCAAAAAATTCCCATTTTTCCCCCATAAAATCCCCCAAAATTCCCATTTTTTCCCCATAAAATCCCCCCAAAATTCCCAATTTTTCCCAATTTTTCCCCATTTTTTTCCTAAACCCCCCCAAATTCCCATTTTTCCCCAAATTCCCGTTTCCCCATTCCGTGCGCGATTTGCAATCAGCTGCTACAAACCATAAATCGATTTATTTCCATTTTTTGCTCTGTACAACTTTAATGGAGAAATCTCAGAAACGACAAAAAAATCCAAATTTTGGGCTCATCCCGAAATTCCCTTTTTTTTTTTTTTTCCCATTTTCCCATCGGAATTTTCCAAATATTCAGATTTTTTAAAATTTTTTTTTAGGAACGGCTCCGAGCTTTGGGAATTTTTTTTTTTTGGAATTCAAATCAATAAAAATTTCCAGAATTTTGGGGGGAAATTTTGGTAAAAATTCAAATTTTTTTTGCAAAAATTGCATTTTTTAAGGGCAAAAATTCCAAATTTTTTAGTAAAAATTCCCAATTTTTTTTTTTGCAAAAATTGCATTTTTTAAGGGCAAAAATTCCAAATTTTTTAGTAAAAATTCCAAATTTTTTTTTTTGCAAAAATTGCTTTTTTTTTCTGGCAAAAATTCCAAATTTTTTTTTGTAAAAATTCCAATTTTTGGGGCAAAAATTCCAAATTTTTTGGTAAAAATTCCAATTTTTTTTTTTTGCAAAAATTGCATTTTTTAAGGGCAAAAATTCCAAATTTTTTAGTAAAAATTCCAAATTTTTTTTTTTGCAAAAATTGCATTTTTTAAGGGCAAAAATTCCAAATTTTTTTGTAAAAATTCCAATATTTTTTTTTGCAAAAATTGCATTTTTTAAGGGCAAAATATTCCAAATTTTTTGGTAAAAATTCCAAATTATTTTTTGGCAAAAATTCAGGGTTTTTTTGGGGCAAAATTCAATTTTTTTGGGGCAAAAACTAAATTTTCTTTTGCAAAAATTCCTTTGGTTTTGGGCAAAAAAAATAAAAAAAATTTTAGCAAAAATTCAAAATTTTTTGGGAAAATTCTTTTTTTTTCCACAAAAAATTCCCTTTTTGGTGGGTTTTTTGGGCAAAAAATTCAAATTATTTTTTACAAAAATTCCACCTTTATTTCGGGCAAAAATTCAAATTTTTGCAAAAAAATTCAAAATATTTTAGGGCAAAAATTCCAGTTTTGGGGGGGGAAAAAATTCAAAATTTTTTTGCAAAAATTCTGGGTTTTGGGCAAAAATTCAAATTTTTTCGGTGAAAATTCCTTTTTTTTTGGAAAAAAAAATTTGGAAATTCAATTTTTAAAAAATTTTTCTTTTTGGGCAAAAAATCCCTTTTTTTGGGCAAAAATTCCAATTTTTTTCTGGCAAAAATTTGATTTTTTTTCCGCAAAAATTCAATTTTATTTTTACCAAAATTCCTTTCTTTTGGCAAACATTCCAAATTTTTTTTTTGCCAAATATTCCCCTTACTTTGGTCAAAATTTTAATTTTTTTTCCCCAAAAAATTCCAGATTTTTATTGCCAAATATCGCATTTCTTGAGGGCAAAAATTCAATTTTTTTTGGTAAAAAATCCCATTATTGGGGGCAAAATTCCAATTTTTTTGGGAGGCAAAAATTCAAATTTTTTTCCGAAAAAATCCCAATTTTTCCCCGCAAAACTCCCTTTTTTTTTGGTCAAAAATCCTTTTTATTTTTGGTCCAAAATCCCATTTTTTTGGTGCCAAATTCCCATTTTCCCTCCGCCTTCGGCGTCGCTTTCGCGCGGGGCCTCCCGCGCTCGGCAACTCTCGGCAGCGCTCGGGAGCTCTCGGGAGCCCTCGGGAGCTGTCGTGGGAGCCTTCGGAAGCGCTCGGCAACTCTCGGGAGCTGTCGTGGGAGCCTTCGGAAGCGCTCGGGAGAGCCCTCGGGAGCTGTCGGGGGAGCCCTAGGGGGCGCTCGGGAGCTGTCGGGAACTCTCGGGAGCCTTCGGGAGCGCTCGGCAACCCTCGGGAGAGCCCGCGGGAGCCCTCAGGAACCGGCGGGAGCGCCCTTAGGAGCCGTCGGGAGCGCTCGGCAACCCTCGGGAGCGCCCTCGGGAGAGCCCTCGGGAGCCCTCAGGAATCGGCGGCAGAGCCCTCGGGAGAGCCCTCGGGAGCGCCCTCGGGAGAGCCCTCGGGAGCCCTCAGGAGCCCGCGGGAACCGGCGGGGGAGCCCTCGAGAGCTGTCGTGGGAGCCGTCGGGAGAGCCCTCAGGAACCGGCGGGAACCGTCGGGAGACCTCGGAGGAGCCGTCGGGAGCCCTCGGGAACCGGCGGGAGAGCCCGCGGGAGCTGTCAGAAACCGGCGGGGGAGCCCTCAGGAAACGTCGGTAGCCGGCGGGAAGTGGCGGGGGAGCCCTCAGGAACTGTCGGGGGAACGCTCGGGAGGCATCGGGGGAGCCCTCAGGAAACATCGGGAGCTCTCGGTGGAGCACTCGGGAGGCGTCGGGAATGTTCGGGAGCTCTCGGTGGAGCACTCGGGAGGCGTCGGGAATGTTCGGGAGCTCTCGGTGGAGCACTCGGGAGGCGTCGGGAATGTTCGGGAGCTCTCGGTGGAGCACTCGGGAGGCGTCGGGAATGTTCGGGAGCTCTCGGTGGAGCACTCGGGAGGCGTCGGGAATGTTCGGGAGCTCTCGGTGGAGCACTCGGGAGGCGTCGGGAATGTTCGGGAGCTCTCGGTGGAGCACTCGGGAGGCGTCGGGAATGTTCGGGAGCTCTCGGTGGAGCACTCGGGAGGCCTCAGGAAACATCGGGAGCTCTCGGTGGAGCACTCGGGAGGCGTCGGGAATGTTCGGGAGCTCTCGGTGGAGCACTCGGGAGGCGTCGGGAACGTTCGGGAGCGCTCGGGAGGCGTCGGCGGAACGCTCGGGAGCGCTCGGGTGAGCTCTCGGGAGGCGTCGGGAACGTTCGGGAGCGCTCGGGAGGCGTCGGCCCCGGGCAGGCGGAGCTCGGGAGGGCGAGGAGCGGCCTCGGAGCTCGGGAGCCGAAGCGCTTCGGGCCCCGCCGGGAGCGCTCGGGCCGCGCCGGAGGCGGAGCCGGGATTTAGTTTGGCCTCGGCCGGGCCGGGAGGCGGTGCCGGAACGCTACAGAAACACACAAAATAATAACGGGGGAATAATGCAAAACAAAACGGGGGAATGATGGAAATAATACAAAATAATACAAAATAATAATGGGGAAATAATGCAAAATAAAATGGGGGAATGATGGAAATAATACAGAATAATAACGGGGAAATGATAGAAAATAAAATGGGGAAAATGATAGAAATAATACAAAATAATAATGGGGAAATAATAATGGGGAAATAATGCAAAATAAAATGGGGGAATGATAGAAATAATACAAAATAATAACGGGGAAATGATAGAAAATAAAATGGGGGAATGATGGAAATAATACAAAATAAAATGGAGGAAATAATACAAAATAAAATGGGGGAAATGATGGAAATAATACAAAACAAAATGGGGGAAATGATAGAAATAATACAAAATAAAATGGGGGAAGTAATAGAAATAATACAAAAATAAAATGGGGGAAATAATAAAAATAGTACAAAAATAAATCGGGGAAATAATGGGAATAATACAAAATAAAATGGGGAAAATAATAAAAAGAATACAGAATTAAATGGGGGAATAATAAAAATAATACAAAATAAAGTGGGGAAAATAATAAGGAGGGGGGAAGAAAAATAAATATAAAATAACATGGGGGAAGGAAGGGGAAAAAGAAAAATAATAAAATTAAAAGAAAAAAAAACACAAAATGAAATGGGGAAAATAAATTTTAAAAATACAAAATAAAATAAAAAAGGGGGGAAAAATTTAAAAAGTGGGGGGAAGGGGAAAAAAAGGAAATAAAGAGAAAAAAATTAAAAGTGAGGGGAAAGGGAAATAAAAAAAAAAAGAGAAAAAAAGAGAAAAAAAATTAAAAATTGGGGAAAAAAAAGGTAAAAAAGAAAGAAAGGCCAAAGCAGCTGAGCCGAGGGCAGAGAGGGAATTTTGGAATTTGGGAATTTTTCTCCCGGAATTTTGGGAGATTCCACCCAGGGAGGGGAAAAAAAGGAAAAATTTTGTTTAAAAAAGTGGAAAAATGTGAAAATTCTCCCAAATTTCCCAATTTTTGGGGGAATTACAGCGTGGGACTGGAGCGTTCTGGGCAGGAATTGGTTCATTTGAAATGGGGTTTGACTTTTGTTTGTTTTAATTTTATTTTGATTTCATTTATTTTCACTTTTTATTTTTAAATTTTCATTTTAATTTATTTTTATTTTATTTATTTTTAAATTTCCTTTTATTTATTTATTTTACTTTATTTTTTCTAAATTTAATTTAGTTTATTAAAATTTTCCCAGCTATTTCTTTTTAAATTCAACTGAATTTAATTTGAATTCTGTTCACCTTTAAAATTTATTTTAAAAGCTTTTCTTCCATATTAAATATTTAGATTCATTTTTTAAACCTCTTTTAAATAATTTTGATCCATCTTTTATTTCTTTTAAATAATTCCATTTAATTCTTTATTCCTTGTAAAATAATTTTTAAATTTATCCTTTCTTTTTTTACAATATCTTTGTAATTTATCCTTTATTTATTTTAAATACTCTTAAACTTATTTTAAATTTATTTTTTAATTTATTTTTATTTCTTTTAAATATTTTCCATTTATCCTTTTCATTGAAATTCTTGATTTCCACGTCGTGAAATTTGAATTTTTTTCCCGCATTTTCTTTATTTAATATTATTTTGAATTCCTATTTTATTCTCTTTGGAATTTTAAATCCTTTTCAATTTCATTTTTTAAAAAACTCTCTTTTTTTTTTTAAACATTTCCTGTATTTATTTGGAATTTTGTTGATTTTTTCCCAATTTTTTATTGGGGGGAACCGACCCGTGCAGGATGGGGAGCAGCAGCCCCGGTGACACCCAGGGGACACCCAGGGGACACCCAGGGGGACCCGAAGGTGACACCAAGGTGACCTGGAAGGTGACCCAAAGGTGACACCCAGGGTGACCTGGAAGGTGACCCAAAGGTGACACCCAGGGTGACAATGAAGGTGACCCTGAGGGCAGCCCTGGAGGGACCCAAAGGTGACCCCAAAGTGACCTCGAAGGTGACTTTGAGGTTGACGCAGAGGGTGACCCCAAAGGTGACCCAGAGGGTGACCCCAGCGGTGACCTGGGAGGGGACACCAAAGATGACCCAGAGGGTGACCCCAAAGGTGGCCCTGAGGGTGACCCCAACCTGAAAGTGACCCTGAGGGCAACCCTGAGGGTGACCCCAGTGGTGACCTGGGAGGGGACACCAAAGGTGACCCCAGTGGTGACCCCAATGGTGACCTTGAGGGTGACCTCAAAGGTGACACCGAAGGTGACCTCACAGGTGACAACAAAGGTGACCTGCTGAAGGCAACCTCAAAAGCGGAGTCACCCTAAAGGTGACCCTGAGGGTGACCCCAAAGGCGACCCCGAAGGTGACCACGAAGGTGACCACGAAGGTGACCCCAAAGGTGACCCCAAAGGTGACCATGAGAGCAACCCCAAAGATGACCCCAAAGGTGACCACAAAGGTGTCCCCAAGGGTGACCACAAGGATGACCCCAAAGGTGACCCTGATTGACACCAAAGGTGACACCAAAAGCAACCTTGAAGGTGGGGTCACCCCAAAGGTGACCCTGAGGGTGACCACAAAGGTGTCCCCAAGGGTGACCACAAGGATGATCCCAAAGGTGACCTTGAAAGTGACCCTGAAGGTGACCCCAATGGTGACCACAAGGGCAACTACAAGGGTGACCGTGAGAGTGACCCCAAAGGTGACCTCAAAGGTGACCATGAAGGCAAACCCAAAGGTGACCCTGATGGCACCCCCAAAGGTGCTCCAGAGGTGACCCCAAAGGTGTCCCCAAGGGTGACCACAAGGATGACCCCAAAGGTGACCCTGATGGCACCCCCAAAGGTGCCCCAGAGGGTGTCCCCAAGGGTGACCACAAGGATGACCGAAAAGGTGACCTTGAAGGTGACCCCAGAGGTGACCACGAGGGCAACCACAAGGGTGACCGTGAGAGTGACCCCATAGGCAAGCCCAAAGGTGACCCTGACGGTGACCCCAAAGGTGTCCCCAAAGGTGCCCCCAAAGGTGTCCCCAAGGGCGCCCACAAGGGCGACCCCAGAGGTGACCTCAAAGGTGACCCTGAAGGCATCCCCAAGGGTGACCCCAGGGCCATCCCGAAGGTGACCCCAAGGTGCCCAGAGGTGCCCCAGCGGCGTCCCCGCGTGTCCCCGCGTCCCTCCCGGTGGCCGGCCGGCGCCGGTGTTTCCGAGCCGTTTTTTTTCCGAATGGGATTTGTCTCTTGGTGATGGCCCCCTTGTAGGATGGCACCCATGGGATGTGGCGGGCGGGGTGGAGGGTTGGATCCCGCTTAGCTCTCCTGGGCGTCGCCGGCGCCGCCGCCGCGGCCGTACTCACTGGAGCGCGGCGCCATGCCCAGGTACTGCTTCAGGAACTCGCTAAACCTCTTCTGGTTGTTCCACTTCCGCGCCGACTTGCGCACCCCGATGAAGCCCCCGTACCTCTTCTGCACCCCCTTGGCCGCCCGGCCCGCTCCCGGCCGCCGCGAAATGTCCTCCTCCTCCTCCTCCTCCTCTTGCTCGTCGTGCTGGCGGCCCGAGGGCCAGGGCCGGCCCGAGAGGCGGCGGGGCCGCGGCGCCGCTCGGCCGGCGGCCGCGCACAGCTCCCAGGTGGCGCGGGGCACGGCTCGGCCTTCGCACTCCAGGATGCAGATCTGCGGGGAACGCGCCGCGCGTCACGGCCGGGCCGGGGCCGGGAGGGACCGCCGGGAACGGTGGCGTGCCCGCGCCCCCCGCCCGTCCGCACGCTGCCCGGAGGGTGCCCGGCCGTGACGTGGTGCCCATAGGGGTCCCCAGAGGTGACATCCCATAGGTGTCTGTCCCATAGGTGTCTGTCCCATAGGTGACATCCCATGGGTGACATTCCATAGGTGTCCATCCCATAGGTGACATGGTGCCCATAGGTGTGCATAACTGACATCCCATAGGTGCCCGTCCCATAGGTGCCCATCCCATAGGTGCCATCCCATAGGTGCCATCCCATAGGTGTCCCCATAGGTGCCATCCCATGGGTGCCCATCCCATGGGTGCCATCCCATAGGTGCCATCCCATGGGTGCCCATCCCATGGGTGCCATCCCATAGGTGCCATCCCATGGGTGCCATCCCATGGGTGCCCATCCCATGGATGCCATCCCATAGGTGTCCCCATGGGTGCCATCCCATGGGTGTCCCCATAGGTGCCATCCCATGGGTGCCCATCCCATAGGTGCCATCCCATAGGTGCCCATCCCATGGGTGCCATCCCGACACCATCCCATTGGAAGCGCCGTGGGAAGGTGCCGGCAGCTCCTCGGCCTCATCCCGGAGGTGCCTCCTGCCCGAGCCCCTGCTGGGCGCCCAGGGCTGGAAGGGGGTGGAGATGCTCAGCAGCGCTCTCCAGCTCCCCCGGACACGCCCCAGGCTGTGCCAAGGAATTCAGAGCTCCTGCGCCGCCGCTCCGAGCTCTGCTGGGGGCCACAGCCCAGAAATCATCGAGTGTGATGGGATGGAGGTGGGACGGGTTGGAGGTGGGATGGGATGGTGGAGGTGGGATGGGATGGTGGATGTGGGAAGGGACAGCAGAGGTGGGAAGGGACCTCTGGCCTGTTCCCATGGCAGGTCCTGGTGTCTGGAGTTGTTCCTCGTCAAGGATGCAACTTTGCTGTTCCCGAGGTTTCTCCAGCTGGGAATGTTCCTCTGGATGGCAGCAGAAGCCTGCGGGGTCCCACCAGCCCTCCCAGCTCTGCAGCATCTGCTGAGGCTCTCCTGCCCCGTTATCCTGAAGGATTCCTGGTGCTCCGGGTTTATCCGCTCCGTGATTGTCCTCGAGGATGTCACGGGACACCGGGATGAAGGTCAGGCCCAGCCTCAGGCTGGTCAAGCCCCACTGCTCCTCCATAAATCCACGCTGGCTGCTCCCGGTGACCTTCCCGTCCTCCACTCCTTCAGAGCAGCTCCACAGGATGGAGATGGAAAAGCTCCGTGCTCCAGCACCTCACTGGGGATTCACGGGAAGCTTCCCAGATCCTCCTCCATCCTTCCTCAAAGGCAGGAGGGGCCTCCAGCTCCTCCAGCCCCAGGAACGGCCGTTCCCACCACGTCCCTTCGTCACCGGCGTCCTTCGGCCCCCAGGGGTTCATCCCACCACGGTTGGATCCTGTCCCTTTCCAGGCTGGACAGGACACGGACCTGTCCCTGCTGTGGGGTTTTGGTGCCACCAAACCCACCACGGTTGGGTCTCATCCCTTTCCAAGCCAAACAGGACATGGAAAGTCCTTTTTTGGTGCCACCAAACCCACCACGGTTGGGTCTCATCCCTTTCCAGGCCAGTCCTTATTTGGTGCCACCAAACCCACCACGGTTGGGTCTCATCCTTTCCAGGCCAGACAGGACATGGAAAGTCCTTTTTTGGTGCCACGAAACCCACCACGGTTGGGTCTCATCCCTTTCCAAGCCAAACAGGACATGGAAAGTCCTTTTTTGGTGTCACCAAACTCACCACGGTTGGATCTCATCCCTTTCCAGGCCGAACAGGACATGGAAAGTCCTTTTTTGGTGCCACCAAACCCACCATGGTTAGATCTCATCCCTTTCCAGGCCAGTCCTTTTTTGGTGCCACCAAACCCAGCACCCAGGAAAACCATCCAGGAGGAAATCGTGGAAGAACCAAGCTCGGTGAACTCTGGAAGGAACCGTGGGTGGAGGGCCCAGGAGGGAAGCGTTGTCCTCATGTCCATCCCGACGTCTCCACCGTGGTGGGGTCCTTCAAACGCTGATCCCCGGCTGGCTTCAGCCCAGGTGAGCCAGGTGGAGATCCCCGTCCTCTCCTCAAACCCTCAAATCCATTTTTTATCCTTTTTTCCCTCAAACCACCCCTCGCTCCATCCCGTTCCTCACGGTGTCTTCGTCCTTCTCGTGGCACCACCAGCCCGGCCAGCGGGGAGCGGCCACCGGTCCTGCTCAGGGCTGGAGCTCCACCGGCTCTTCCCACCCCCCAGGGCTCGTCCCACAACCCCCAAAAGAGGGAGAATTGTCCCCAAACGAGGCGGTGACAAGGATTTTTTAGGGTGGGGCCTTGTGGAGACACCGAGGGCGTCCCGCGCTGAGCCGAGGTCTTCTCCTGGCATCTCCAAGGCTTTGGAAAGGTCTGTGCTGCTGGAAGTGATGGATCCCATGGAGGTGACATCTCTAAGGTCCTGTCACCCTCCGGCATGGACGTCCCAGGCTCCTGGGCCACCGGGCTGAGGTGACAATTCTCCTGGAAGTGGCTTCTGTCCCCTGGAATTCTGTCGGGAATCTTCGGTGAACAGCGGCCGGTGCTCCAAAACCAGCTGGGGAGGTTCTTCCCCGTCTTTGGTTGGTGGCTTTGGTGGCCTTGGGGACCGGCACCGGGGTGAGTCACCCACACCGTGAGGAGCAGGCGGTCCCTGCCCTTCCCTGGCACCAGAAATTCCCGGGATCTCCTGCTCGGACGTCACTTTGGAAACGGTGGAAGATCACACCAACTCCCACCACGAGGCTCAAACCTAACCCCGGGAGATCCCAAATCCCACCACAAGGCTCAAACTGAACCTCAGGAGACCCCGAACTCCACCACGAGGCTCCTTCCAGCCCAAACCTAACCCCTGGAGATCCCAAATCCCACCACGAGGCTCCTTCCAGCCCAAACCGAGCCCCGGGAGATCCCAAATCCCACCATGAGGCTCCTTCCAGCCCAAACTGAACCCCTGGAGATCCCAAATCCCACCATGAGGCTCCTTCCAGCCCAAACCGAGCCCCGGGAGATCCCAAATCCCACCACGAGGCTCCTTCCAACCCAAACTGAACCTCAGGAGATCCCAAATCCCACCACGAGGCTCCTTCCAGCTCGAACCTCAGGAGATCCCAAATCCCACCACGAGGCTCCTTCCAACCCAAACCTCAGGAGATCCCAATTCCCACCACGAGGCTCCTTCCAACCCAAACCTCAGGAGATCCCAGATCCCACCACGAGGCTCCTTCCAGCCCAAACCAAGCCCCAGGAGACCCCAAATTCCGGTTCCAACTGCTCTGGCTTTGGGATAGGAGCTGCCACAGGGTCCATGGGCCACCGACCCCCCCAGCTCCTCCCCGAGGTTCCGGCTGGAGCTCCAGGAGCAGGACCAGGCAGGAAAATGGGATCTCACAGAGGTTCTGGTGCGTTCTAAACGACGTTTTGGGGCCCAAGCAGGGTGGTGGCACCCCAAAACTTGGTGGCAGTGACGTGGCCTTGGTGGCACTGGGGTGGCTCCAGCATCTCCTGGAAGTTTCTGGTTTCTCCTGGGATTTTTGGGATATTTCCCAACCCTGGGGGCTTCCGAGCTGCCGGCTCCTTTTGGGAATGGGGGGACGTGTCCACCCGGTGGGATTTGTTATCCCAAATAAACGGGGGAGGTGGACAATCCCCCGGGAATGCCGGGACACAGACACGGCTCAGGGAGGGGAACAGAAAGGATTTAGGAGCTGGAAACCCCAAAATTCCGGTGTCACGGCGCTTCCCGTCCCGTGTGGGATGCAAACCAAGGCCTGGAGGAGCTGCGGGATCTCCGAGCTCCTCCCACCCAGCCTGAGCTCCGAGCGGGATTTTGGAGGCTCCTCGGGGGTTTGGGATGGGTGAGGCAGCGGTGGGGATGGAAGCTGGGGATGGCTGGGGTCTTGGGACCACCCTGGTTTGGGATCTTCATCCTGGTTTGGGATCTTCACCCTCGTTTGGGATCTTCACCGTGACAATGGTGGCACTCTCTGAGTTGGGATCTTCACCCTGAGTTGGGATTTTCACCTTCCCTCAGGACCTTCCTGGTTTGGGATCTTCATCCTCATTTGGGACCATCCTGATTTGGGATCTTCAGCCCGATTTGGGATCTTCAACCTCATTTGGGATCTTCTACTTCCCTCAGGACCATCCTGATTTAGAATCTTCACCCTGGTTTGGGATCTTCATCCTGGTTTGGGATCTTCACCCTCGTTTGGGATCTTCACCCTCATTTGGGATCTTCACTCTGAGTTGGGATCTTCACCCTGAGTTGGGATTTTCACCTTCCCTCAGGACCTTCCTGGTTTGGGATCTTCATCCTCATTTGGGACCATCCTGATTTGGGATCTTCAACATCATTTGGGATCTTCTACTTCCCTCAGGACCATCCTGATTTAGAATCTTCACCCTGAGTTGTGATCTTCTCCCTGCGTTGGGATCTTCATCCTGGTTTGGGATTTTCACCTTCCCTTGGGACCTTTCTGGTTTGGGATCTTCATCCTCATTTGGGATCTTCATCTTCATTTGGGACCATCCTCATTTGGGATCTTCACCCTGGTTTGGGATCTTCACCCTGGTTTGGGACCATCCTGGTTTGGGATCTTCATCCTCATTTGGGATCTTCACCTTCCCTCAGGACCATCCCGGTGCCCACGCAGGAGTGACAGTGACAGTGACAGTGACAGTGACAATGGTGGCAGGTGGCACCTTCCCCTCAAGTCACAAATCCCCCAGACCCCAGCAGAGGGAAAATGGCACCCAGATCTCCCAGTATGGGGACAGCGGTGGTGGCACTCCCAATGTCCCCCAGACCCCGGCAGAAGGAAAAGCACTCCCATATCCCGCAGGCCTGGGGACAGGGGACAGTTGGTGGCACTCCAGATGTCCCCCAGATCCCCCAGGCGTGGGGACAAGGGACAGTGGTGGTGGCACTGACAATGTCCCCCAGACCCCAGCAGAAGGAAAATGGCACCCAGATCCCCCAGTATGGGGACAGGGGACCCTGGTGGCACTCCCAATGTCCCCCAGACCCCAGCAGAAGGAAAAGGGCTCCCAGATGCCCCAGGGCATGGGGACAGGGGACATTGGTGCCGCAGGCATGGGGACAGGGGACAGCGGTGGTGGCACTCCCAGTGTCCCCCAGACCCCAGCAGAAGGAAAAGGGCTCCCAGATGCCCCAGGGCATGGGGACAGGGGACATTGGTGGCACTGACGATGTTCCCCAGATCCCCCAGGGCATGGGGACAGGGGACATTGGTGGCACTCCCGATGTCCCCCTGAGGTGGTGGCACTGACAATGTCCCCCAGACCCCAGCAGAAGGAAAATGGCACCCAGATCCCCCAGTATGGGGACAGGGGACCCTGGTGGCACTCCCAATGTCCCCCAGACCCCAGCAGAAGGAAAAGGGCTCCCAGATGCCCCAGGGCATGGGGACAGGGGACATTGGTGGCACTCCCAATGTCCCCCAGCCCCCCCCTATGGGGACAGGGACCCCGGTGGCACTTCCGATGTCCCCCAGCCCCTGTCAGAAGGAAAAGCACTCCCATATCCCCAGGCCTGGGGACAGGGGACAGCTGTGGCACTCCCGATGTCCCCCTGACCCCCCATATGGGGACAGGGGCCCCGGTGGCACTCCCGATGTCCCCCTGACCCAGATCCCCCAGGCGTGGGGACAAGGGACAGTTGGTGGCACTCCTGATGTCCCCCAGACCCCAGCAGAAGGAGAAGAGCACCCAGATCCCCCAGTATGGGGACAGCTGTGGCACTCCCGATGTCCCCCAGCACCTGGCAGAAGGAAGATGGCTCCCATATCCCCCTGGCATGTGGACGGGGACCCTGGTGGCACTCCGATGTCCCCCAGGTCCCCCATATGGGGACAGGGACCCCGGTGGCACTCCTGATGTCCCCCAGCCCCCAGACCCCCCATGTGGGGACAGGGACCCTGGTGGCACTCCGATGTCCCCCAGCCCCAAGACCCCCCATATGGGGACAGGGACCCCGGTGGCACTCCCGATGTCCCTACCCCCCAGTATGGGGACAGGGACCCTGGTGGCACTCCCGATGTCCCCCAGCACCTGGCAGAAGGAAGATGGCTCCCATATCCCCCTGGCATGTGGACGGGGACCCTGGTGGCACTCCGATGTCCCCCAGGTCCCCCATATGGGGACAGGGACCCCGGTGGCACTCCTGATGTCCCCCAGCCCCCAGACCCCCCATGTGGGGACAGGGACCCTGGTGGCACTCCGATGTCCCCCAGCCCCAAGACCCCCCATATGGGGACAGGGACCCCGGTGGCACTCCGATGTCCAGCCCCCATGTGGGGACAGGGGCCCCGGTGGCACTCCCGATGTCCCCCAGGTCCCCCATATGGAGACAGGGGCCCCGGTGGCACTCCCGATGTCCCCCAGACCCTGGCAGAAGGAAGATGGCTCCCATGTCCCCAGTATGGGGACAGGGACGCTGGTGGCACTCACGAGGACGTCGAAGCTGTCGCGGTAGAGCTGGCGGTCGCAGTGCAGGCAGTCGCCTCGGCAGTCGCCGCGGGCGCGGGCGCAGAGCCACAGCAGCAGCAGCAGGTCCCAGAGCACGGCCCGCATGGTGCCACCGCCTGCGGGGACACGCCCGTCACCCCCGGGCACCCAGAACCCCGAGGGAGCCCCAAAAAATCCGACAAAATGGGAAAAAACCCTGCGAAATCCAAAAAAAACCCTGCGAAATCCAAAAAAACCCCTGCGAAATCCAAAAAAAACCCCCCGCGGAATCCAAAAAAAAACCCTCCCGCGAAATCAAAAAAAACCCTGGGGAATCACGGAAAAATCCTGTGAAATCACGAAAAAATCCTGAGAAATCACAAAAAGATCCTGCAAGATCCAAAAAAATCCTGTGAAATCACAAAAAAATCCTGAGAAATCACAAAAAGATTCTGTGAAATCACGAAAAAATCCTGTGAAATCACCAAAAAATCCTGTGAAATCACAAAAAGATCCTGCAAGATCCAAAAAAATCCTGTGAAATCCAAAAAAATCCTGTGAAATCACAAAAAGATCCTGCAAGATCCAAAAAAATCCTGTGAAATCCAAAAAAATCCTGTGAAATCACAAAAAAAATCCTGTGAAATCACAAAAAAATCCTGCGAAATCACAAAAAATCCTGAAAATCACAAAAAGATCCTGTGAAATCACAAAAAATTCTGTGAAATCACAAAAAGATCCTGTGAAATCACAAAAAAATCCTGCGAAATCACCAAAAAATCCCGTGAAATCACAAAAAAATCTTGTGAAATCACAAAAAGATTCTGTGAAATCAAAAAAAAATCCTGCAAGATCCAAAATAATCCTGTGAAACCCTGCGGAATCCCCAAAAAAAATCCCGTAAAACCCTGCAAAATCCCCAAAAAAATCCCGTAAAACCCTGCAAAATCCCCCAAAAAATCCCATGGAATCCCAAAAAGCCCCGTGAAATCCCAAAAAATATCCCACAGAATCCCAAAAAAACCCTGTGAAATCCCAGAAAATCAAACAAAAACCCACCAAAACCCCACCAAATCCCAAAAAACCCGCGGAATCCCAAAAGAATCCTGCAAAACCCAGCGAAATCAAAAAAAAACCCCACAAACCCCTGTGAAATTCAAAAAAAATTCCAAAAAAAACGCACAAAAACCCATCAAAACCCCACCAAATCCCAAAAAGTCCCATGAAAAAAAAAATCCTGCGAGATCCCAATAAAATCCCACAAAATCCCGAAAAAATCCTGCGACATAAAAAAAAATCTGACCCCAAAGGTTTGGGATTGTCCCTCTCGGTGTCCCGGGACAGCTCCGGGTTATTTTAGCAGGGACAGCGCGTTCCCAGCTGTTCCCACCCAGGGACAATTCCCAGTCCTGCTCTGGGGTGGCTCTGGGGACGTGCCACCCCTGTCCCTGTCCCTGTCCCTGTCCTGGGCGGGTCCAGCAGGGATTGCTGGAATGGGAGCGCCAGTCCCGGAGAATTCCCGGAGAATTCCGTGTCACTGCCGGCTTGGCCAACAGGTTTAGGGGACAATTCGGGGACAATTCAGGGATTGGACAGAGGTGACAGAGTGGATGGAAATGGGGATGTGGCACCGGGTGTAGGGGACAATGAGGGGACCGGACAGGTGACAGAGGGGTGACAGGATGGGGATGTGGCACCGGGTGTAGGCGACAATCCAGGGATTGGACAGAGGTGGCAGAAATCAGGATGTGGCACCAGGGGAGGGGACAATTCAGGGATTGGACAGATGGCAGAAATCAGGATGTGGCACCAGGTGTAGGGGACAATCCAGGGAGCGGACAGAGGGGACAAAGAGGGACAAGAGAGGGAGATGTGGCACCGGGTGTAGGGGACAATTCAGGGAGTGCACAGAGGTGACAGAGCTGGGGATGTGGCACCAGGAGAGGGGACAGTTCAGAGAGCTGAGAGAGGGGACCGAGAGGGACAACAGAGGGAGACGTGGCACCGGGATTAGGAGACCATGAGGGGACCAGAGAGAGGGACAGGATGGGGATGTGGCACCAGGGGAGGGGACAATGACAGGACCAAATAGAGGGAAAAGGATGGAGATGTGGCACCAGGGGAGGGGACAATTAAAGGATCACACAGAGGTGACAAACATGGGGATGTGGCACTGGCTTTAGGGGACAATTAAAGGACCACACAGAAGTGACAGGTGACAGAGATGGGGATGTGGCCCCAGGTTTAGGGGACAATTCAGGGACCACACAGGAGTGACAGAGATGAGGATGTGACACCGGCTTTAGGGGACAATCCAGGGAGCAGACGGAGGTGACAGAGGTGGGGATGTGACACCGGCTTTAGGGGATCCCAAATCCCCAGGGCCACCCCCGGGCCGCGCACCCCGCCGGGTGTGACGGTCACCTTTTGTCGCCGGCCGGCGGGCGGTGACAGCGGTGACACGCCGCGGCCGTCACCCGCCGGAGGGTCCGGGGGGCGCTGACAAGGAGCCGGCACTGAGCTTTAATCTCGGCTGAGTCACAGCTCCCGAGAGAGGCCAAAACCCCAAAAACCGGCACCGCCACCCCCTGTCCCTGTCCCCGTGTCCCCAAGAGGCTCCGAGATCCGCGGGAAACGGGATCGGGAGCGGATCCCGCTTTGTGCAGCCCCCGCCCCAAAATCCAATCCGGACGCTTTTTGGGTTTTTTTGGGGGGCTCCAAGCCCCTTCCTGAGTTTCCCAGCCACAAATCCATTAAAAAAAAAAGGGATTCGCTTTTCCCCATTTCCCCCAGTATTTGTTTTCACTATTTTTCCCCCATTTCTCCACGGTTTTTTATCATTCTTTCCTCTATTTCCCCCACGTTTTATTCCTCGTTCTTTTCCCTTTTCCCCAACATTTTTTCCTCATTCTTTCCTTTTTTTCCCCTCTTTTCCCATTCCTTCCCATTTCCCCAACATTTTTTCTCCTCATTCCTTCCCATTTTCCCACATTCTTTTTCTCATTTTTCCCCTTTCCCCCCACATTTTTTTTCCTAATTCTTTCCCTTTTCCCCCTCGTTTTTTCTCCTCATTCTTTCCTCCTTTCTCCACATTTCTTCCCCTTTTCCCCCGCATCTTTCCCTCATTCTTTCCCATTTCCCCACCTTTTCTCTCTCATTCTTTCCTCATTCTTTCCTCTTTCTCCACATTTCTTCCCCTTTCCCCCCACATTTCTTTCCCTCATTCTTTCCCATTTTCCCACCTTTTCTCTCTCATTCTTTCCCATTTCTCACCTTTTTCCTCATTCTTTCCCATTTCCCCACCTTTTATCCCCATTCTTTCCCATTTCCCCACCTTTTTTCCCCATTCTCCTTTTTCCTCATTCTTTCCCATTTTCCCACATTTTCCCTCATTCTTTCCCATTTTCCCACCTTTTTTCCCACATTCTTTCCCGTTTTTCCCCCTTTTTCCCTCATTCTTTCCCATTTCCCCACATTTTTCCCCATTCTTTCCCATTTTTCCCCCTTTTTTCCCCATTCTCTCCCATTCCCCACCTTTCCTCCCCCTCATCCTCGCCCTTTTCCCCGCATTTTTCCCCCTCATTCTTCCCCCTTTCCCCACATTTTTCCCCGTTAAAAAAGAACATTTTTCCCTCCGGGAAAACCCATCCCGGGCCCTTTCCCGAAGGATTCTCGGGCCGCTCCCTCTCTCCCCTCTGCCACCCCCGCGGCTCCTCCTGGCCCCAAAATCTTCCTTTTCCTCCCCAAAAAATCCAACCCCATCCACGCCGAGGGCTCCGCCAGGACGCGGCCGCCCCGAGGGTGAAATCCCAGTTTATTTTTTTTTCCGTGCGGTTGGAATTACCCTCATTCATTTCGGTGGAGAATAACAAATAAAAAAAAATTTAAAAATCAATGAGTTTGGGTGGGTTTTTTTTTGGTTGTGTTTTTTTTTAAAAATGGAAATCCGGCTTAGGGCGGGTTTATCCACCAGGACGAGCGGTTTTTATGGGATGAGAGGTGGGAAAATCCATTGTGGGAGCAGCGGGAACGGGAATAAACCGCGGAGAGGGGCAGCAGGTGCTGCCTCAGATGGGATTTTATCCGCTCCATTTGAGGCCATTCCCAGCCCCTCTTCCCGTGGGATTCTCCCGCCTTTGGGATGGCCCCGAACACCCCAAAAGCAGCTCCGCTTCGGGATCATCCCGCAGCAAAAACATCCCAAATCCCCTTTTTTTATTCTTTTTTTTTTCCTCCTTTTTCAGCCAAGGCCTGATCCAGAGGCGGCCGGGAAGGATCCGTGGGATCGGGGAAGGAGGGAAAGCTTTTCCCATTAAAAAAAAAAAAATCAAATTATTGTCCCAAACCCCCGCCCTGCTCCCCCAAATCCCGCCTTTGCGCCGGCGGATTTTTGGGGGGGATTTTAGGGAAAATCAGAGGGATTCGGGAATGATGGAGGGGGGGTGGTGGTTACAGATCCTCGGCGGAAAAATCAGCGCTGCCTCCTCGCCGTGCCCCTCAATCAGGTAATTGGCCATAATTGGCCAAAATGAGGCGCCGCGGTGTGACTGGAAAGGCAGATGGGAGCCGGGAAAAGGCTGCTCGGAGGTGAAAAAAAATCGGGAATAACATTTTATTCCATCCCCATCTCCATCTCCTCAGCCGCTCCTTGCCTGATTTTTTTGGGGGGGCTCTAAACCGAACAAAGCACCAAAATAAAAAAAATAATAATAATAATAAAAAAGGAAATAAACCCCCTCACGCTCGTCCTTTTTGTGCGATTTTTGGGGTGGCTCGGCCGGGGAGATCCCGGGGAAGTCGCGGCTGGAAGGGGAAGGAGCGGGAATACGGGATGGGCAGAATCGCGGCGCGGCCGCTCCCCCAAAAAAAAACCCCAAAAACCAAAAAATTCCCGCCGATCCCGGAGGCAGCCGGCAGCACCCCCGGCTCCGGGCAGGCCACGCCGCCTCTTGTTGCATCCCCGCGGCTCCGCTCGGCCGGATTTTGGGGCTGCAGAGCCGAAAACTTTTCCTCCGCCGGGAGAGCGGCAGCGGCTCCCTCCGGGGCGAGGCTGCGCTTTCCCGGGAGCGCGGGGCCGTTCCGCGGGGGAATAAAAAGCAGGAAAAGCCGGGGAAAAGCGCGCCGGG